AATATCCGGGTCCGAGTCCGGGTCCAAATTGGGGCGGATTTTTAGTAAAACCTGTAATCGGCCCCGAACCCAGCCGGGTTTAAAATTTTAAATCCACAACCCGCCGCGAAACATATTATTTAGACCCAAATCCGTCTCATTAAGAGCGGATCCGGGGCTAACCCGCCCCATTTGACATCCCTAGCAACATATGTGTATATTATTCGATTTGAACCAAAACTATATGTATATATGGAAGCTGCCGTAGTTGTGTTTTATTGTTTTAAATCGGGATATATACCTCATTTGTAAGTAGAGGCATTTTTCGTATCGATTGGTTTTCTTGTGCAAAACTATTACTACTGTTGAAACGTGACTTGGATTTAGCGGTCTACCCGATCCTAAACCAAAGCGAAAGGGCTGTTTCAATTGGCAAGGTTCCTTTTAGGCTTATCCTAATTAATAACAAATGGGCTTAAGGTGTAGGGTGTTTTGGGGTGCTTATAAATAGATAACTATGGTTCTTAGTCGGATGACATATTGTAAATCTTTAAATCAGTATAATAAAATCTCTCCGGTTCCTGCCCGTGGACGTAGGTTGACATACTGTCACCGAACCACGTAAAACCTCTGTGTTCTTTATTTGCTTTCTTTCTCGTTTTCTCATAACAAGTGGTATCAGAGCCATATCTCATTGATTGAAGATGTCCTCGTATAAGTTTGATCTGGAGAAGTTTAATGGGTCGAATGACTTCACGCTCTGGAAGGTCAAGATGAGGGCACTTCTGGTTCAACAAGGATGTGCGGCTGCGTTGGACGGAGAAGACAAGTTTTCTAAAGACACGAAGGATGAGGTAAATAAGGAGATTTTGGCAAGGGCTCATTCCGCGATCTTGCTGTCAGTTACTGATGAGGTGTTACGGGAGGTTGTAGATCAGACAACGGCTTTTGGGTTATGGAATAAACTGTGTGAGAAGTACCAAAACAACTCTCTCACGAACAGGCTATATCAGAAGCAACGTCTTTACACCCTCCGGATGTCCGAAAGTACTCAGGTAAAGGATCATCTTGATACCTTTAACCGTATCATTTTTTATCTTCAAGGAGTTGAGGTCAAAGTAGATGATGAAGACCAAGCCCTAATTTTATTGTGTTCACTACTGGTTCATATGAGAATTTTGTAGATACTATGCTATATGGTAGAACTACAATTTCTGTTAATGATGTGAAAGATGCCCTTATGTCCAAAGAATTGAAAAGAAAGGTTTCTCTGGAAGAGGGTTCTGGTTCAGGTTTGTTTGCAGGTAGGGGAAGACCACATGAGAGGGGTAACGGGAATGGGAGGTCGCGTTCAAAATCAAAATCCTCTAGCAAAGTTAAGTGTTATCTTTGCAAGGAGAAAGGGCACGTTAAAAGGGATTGTCCACAGAAGAAGGGAAATACAAAAGTTTATTCTAGTAACAGTAGCAGCAGTGCTGCTGTGGTACAAGACAGTTCTGATGATGGGGACTTTGGTGAAGTTCTGACAACGTGTAGTGCTAGTACTGCTGATTCCTGGATTATGGATACCGGTGCTTCTCACCATATGACGTTCTCTCGTGATCTACTCACTTCTTTTAAGGAATGGTGAAGTTAGGTGATGATGGGGTTCTAGCCATAAAAGGGAGCGGGATAGTGCAGATAAAATTGCATGACGGTACTGTCAGGAAATTTGACTGTTGGTATGTTCCTGAACTCAGAAAGAATTTGATTTCTCTTGGTACCTTAGCCAAAAATGGTTTAAAATATCATGGTGAAGATGAGTGGGTGAAAGTCCTGAAAGGTGCTCTGGTAATGATGAAGGGGAAAACTGCAGCATGAAATTTATTTTCTACAGGGCAGTTCAGTGATGGGAACGGCGGCGGTATCCCAGTCCTTTGATAAACATGATGACAGGACAAATTTGTGGCATTGGCGATTAGGTTACATGAGTGAGCTAGGGTTGTCTGTGTTGAGCAAGCAGGGTTTATTTGGTGGGGATGTGATAGGTAAAATTCAATTCTGTGAGGCTTATGTCAAAGGGAAGCAACGCAGGGTGAGGTTTAGTACCGGTCATCACACCTCAAAAGAAATTCTGGAGTATGTTCATTCAGATCTATGGGGTCCCTCTCGGTGAAATCGCAGGGCGGGTGTTCTTACTTTGTCACTTTCATAGATGATTATTCGAGAAAAGTCTGGTTGTACTTTCTAAAGACTAAAGATGAGGTGTTTGGGAAGTTCAAGGAGTGGAAGACCATGGTTGAAAAACGGACGGGTAAACAGGTCAAGACTCTAAGAACTGATAATGGGTTGGAGTTCTGCAACGCTCCATTTGATGATTTCTGCAAGAAAGAAGGTATAGTGAGGCACCACACTGTACAACACACACCACAGCAAAATGGAGTTGCAGAGCGAATGAATAAAACCCTCATGGCGCGTGCTAGGTGTATGCGTATATTTGCTGGCTTATCTAAGCAATTCTGGGCTGAAGCAGTAAACACTGCTAGCTATCTGGTTAATAGATCTCTATCAACTGCAATTGACTTAAAGACTCCTCAAGAGGTATGGTCCGGTAAACCCTCTGATTACTCTAATATAAGAATATTTGGATGCCCTGCATACGCTCATGTGAATGATGGTAAGCTGGAGCCGAGGGCGGTAAAATGCATATTTCTAGGGTATACAACAGGAGTAAAAGGTTATCGACTGTGGTGTACAGAAGGTAAAAATCCTGGTAAATTTCTTATTAGCAGAGATGTAACCTTTGATGAATCTGCTATGCTTGATCAGAGTAGAGGTTGTGAAAGTATTGCAGGTACAAAAGATTGTGGTGCTAACCAGAGGGTGGAGTTTGAGACTCCTGACAGAGTTGTGTTAGAGGAAAAGCAGCAGGATAATACTATTGATCAATCCGATCAACCAGATCAGTCAAAACCTCAAGGGAAACCGGTTGAGGGGGAAGCTGATGACGCTGGTACTGGGGTTGAAGATTCCATAGCAGCAAGAAAGGGAAAGAGAAATATTCAGAAACCAACTAGGTTTGCATGATGTGTCAATACGTGTGACATGAATTCTGTTGCTTATGCACTAGCGGTTGGTGATGATCTTGGCTCTGATGAGCCAAAGACATATAAAGAAGTTGTGGCGAGTAAAGATGCAGAAACCTGAGTTATGGCAATGAATGAAGAGATGCAGTCTCTTGAAAAGAACAAGACTTGGGATCTTGTTGCACTACCAAAAGGGCTGAAGCCAGTGGGATGCAAGTGGGTCTTTAAAAGAAAGGAGGGAATTCCTGGTGTTGAACCTGCTAGGTTCAAGGCGAGACTGGTGGCAAAAGGGTTTTCACAGAAGGAAGGAATCGATTACCATGAAGTCTTTTCTCCTGTGGTGAAACACAAAACGATTCGGGTTCTTTTGGCAATGGTGGGTGCTTTTGATCTGGAGCTGGAGCAGCTTGATGTAAAAACAGCATTCCTTCATGGTAATCTAGAAGAACAGATTTACATGTCTTAACCGGAGGGGTTCTACAGTTCTAACGGGGACCAGGTATGCTTGTTAAAGAAATCTTTGTATGGCTTGAAGCAGTCTCCGAGGCAATGGTACAAGAGATTTGACTCATTCATGGTGTCTAATGGTTATGCTCGTAATCAGTTTGATAACTGTGTTTACTCGAAGAAAGTTTCTACTGATTCCTTTGTGTATCTGCTGTTGTATGTGGATGATATGTTAATTGCAGCTAAGAACATGGCTGTAATTAATGACTTGAAGGCTCTACTAAAGGGTGAGTTTGAGATAAAGGATTTGGGTGCGGCAAAGAAAATACTTGGTATTGAGATCTGGCGTGATAGAGAAGCAAGACGGTTATGGGTTTCTCAAGAAAAGTATATTGAGAAAGTTTTGCAGGCATTCTCTGTTGATCAGTCCAAACCGGTAAGTACCCCTTTGGCGGCACACTTTAAACTTGATCGAAGCACTATACCGGCTACAGATGAAGAGGTTAGTTACATGAAAAAGGTTCCATATTCAAATGCAGTTGGAAGTCTTATGTATGCGATCTTATGCAGTTAGTGTGGTGAGCAGGTTTATGGCTAATCCGGGTAAAGCTCACTGGGGAGCTATAAAGTGGATCTTGCAATATTTGAAATGAGCGTCTGATATTTGTCTGGTATATGATGATAAAGGCCATGGTGATGGTCTTGTTGGCTATGCAGACTTTGATTACGGGGGTGACTTGGTGAAACGAAGATCACTAACTTGTTTTATCTTCACTCTGTTTGGATGTGCAATCAGTTGGAAGTCTACTTTACAACCTACGGTTGCACTGTCGACGACTGAGGCGGAATACATGTCAATGACTGAAGGTATTAAGGAGGGTATCTGGTTACATAGTATGGTGCAGAGTTTGGGTCTGATGGTGGAGAAACCGGTGTTATTCTGTGATAGTCAAAGTGCTTTGAGTTTGACTAAAAACCCAGTGTATCATGAGAGAACCAAACATATTGATGTAAGGTTGAATTTTATCCGTGATGTTCTGGAGGAAGACAAGTTTTCTATTCAGAAAATAGCTACAGAACACAATCCAGCTGATATGTTGACAAAGGCGTTACCGACGGAGAAGTTTGAGCATTGCTTGAACTTGGTGAATATTCGCAGGAGGTAAAGCCCTCTCGAGGCATCTGGCAGGAAGAAGACGACTGAGAAATACTGACGAACCTTTGGCGGTTGGAGAAACTCCAAGTCAAGGTGGAGATTGTTGGAACGTGATTTGGATTTAGCGGTCTACCCGACCCTAAACCAAAGCGAAAGGGCTGTTTCAATTGGCAGGGTTCCTTTTGGGCTTATCCTAATTAATAACAAATGGGCTTAGGGTTTAGGATGTTTTGAGGTGCTTATAAATAGACAACTATGGTTCTTAGTCAGATGACATATTGTAAATCTCTGAATCAGTATAATAAAATCTCTCCGGTTCCTGCCCGTGGATGTAGGTTGACACACCGTCACCGAACCACGTAAAACCTCTGTGTTCTTTATTTGCTTTCTTTTTCGTTTTCTCATAACAACTACAAATTAAAAAGTACGTGGAACACCATACCTCGCGTTAATACAACAATTCAGACGTAATTTGCCTAGTTCATAGAATCATAACTTAGCACGTAGACCATGTTTCTCGATCGAACATTGCTCACCAAACATCGCGTAAATATCTTCCGCTCACTTGCAAACTATTCATGAAGCTCTCGGCTTCGGAACCGCTTAGCACACCCTGCAATACGACGGGAGACTATTAGTAACCTCGCAATATTACAATTTTCTCATAGAGAATTTTCAAAATCTATGAATTCTTCTTATTGGTGTTTGGTTTTGTTTTCTAATTTTGAATTCTGATTTAGAACGTGTTTGGTAATCAGCTGATAGCTTTTAGCTGTTAACTGATTCAATTAGTTTTTTGTATTATAATGTTTGGTAAAATAACTGTTTGATATTAGTTATTTATATATAAAATGACAATTGAATATAATATTTTATAAAAAAATAATATATTTTTATAAAAAATCACAATGATTAATGGCCGTACAGGATTTTAAAAAAAACTCCAAAAGAGCTTAGCTTGTTTAGTGTGTTTGATCTATGCTTAAACAAGGGTTTGATATAATATTGTACGAGAAAAAAATATACTATTTTGGTCTTATTTACTTTTGCGTGTTGATCTTTGAATATTAATTATTATATAAAAATGTAGTATAAATTAAGAAAAAAATTGCAAAAATACTTATATTAGTGTCTTATAATATTAATAGAAGGATATTTGTACAAAAATTATGCAAATATAAAGATATTTTTAATATTAATACAATGACGTAAAAGATAAATATGACCCCTAGAGTTGGACGGAGGGAGTATATTTTTTTATCAAGAATTATATAGTAAAAAAAACTCTCGTAATTTTAAATTTGTCAAGATTGACAAGAAAATATGGCGCAAGACAAAAGTCCAGCACAATATTCTTTTCATCAATTTTGACTTCCCAAAAAAATTACGAGACTAAAATCATTAAAACAGGTCTCATATTGGATTCGAAATCCTAAGATGATAGAAATGAATGTATAGTACCAAAATCGCAAATTTTCATACGATCGCAACACAAGAGATAAAGTGCGAAAATTGCACAAAAAATGTAAAACCGAACCTGTTCTTGCACAATTGTGTGTAGAGTTCGATGGACATCGCGTGCCATGCCCTTAGCGTCGCCACAGACATAAACATAGCCTCCATCGGAGATAATTTTCCAAATATCCGAAGCCTAATATTAAACATCATTTTTTTTAATCTCTCAAATTTTTCGAACCAAACATAAATTCGAAAAATTAACTATGATATCAACAACTTACCTTTTCAATCATCTTATGTTGCACGTATACCTTGGAAGGTCCTTCGCGCGAAAATGCAAGCAGAAGCTCGGAAAGAATTCCATCTTCGACAAATCTTTTTAACTCATCTTCATAAATAAAATCCTAGGTCCAAATCGAAAATCTTTAGTCTAACATTCGATTGTTTAGACACATATATATATATATTTTGCAGATCTTGATTTGGCCAAGTCAACATGATACTGATTTGATCAGATCAATATATACTATAAGGATGACCAACATATATTTATATATATTTATAATTTAGCATATGTTATCTACGGATCATATATATATAAATGATTTTCTGTACTGTCTAACCATTTTTCGGTTTCTGCATCCGAAAAATAACATGGCTTGGCCGAGTTCAGCTCCGGCTTCCCTTAGAGCTAATCGTTCCTGAAAGAAAAATACTATTAAATGATCATCTCATCTAAAAGTTTAAACTCGTAGAAAATATATTATTAATTTTCCGACATATACATAATTTTACAGCAATATTCCAAATATAGGATTAAAAAATAAGGCAAGAGAAGAAGAAGCTCGAGATTTTTCATTTGAACCTGAAGAAATCCCCTAAACGGAGCCAAGCCGGTGCCGGGGCCAATCATTACGATTGGTACTTTAGGATCGGTCGGGAGTTTGAAATTAGATGTGCGAACAAAGATTGGAGCCGAACTACAGTCGAGGCTGTCATCCAAAGGCACGGCATTCTGGCAAGAAGCTGATCGTTAAGACTCGAAAAGTTAAAAAGATTCGAGTACGCTCCACATGGAAATTTTAAAAATACCTTCATCCATGTCGAGCAGACGCCCTTGTGGATTCGACCCGTGGGTGTTTTTTCGCAAACCAAAGCACACGTGACGTGGATTCGGGATGGCGCAATCCTGCAAAAGAACAATTTATCGACAAACCAAATTCGACGATGAATGAGAAACAAAAACGACGAATACGCACTTTGGGGAGGATGAAATGGAATAAAATCGAGGCTGCAGGCGAGGAGCGATGGCTGCAAAGAAAACGCCGAGCGGAGGCTTAGCCGAAGAGAAGTCTGCCATGACCTCAAGTAGACTTCTCTGACTTACAGTTACATACAGCTGATATTCTTTCTGAGCTCAAAAACACAAAATTCTTACATGAGAAAGCTAAACAAGAAGTTTCGACAATAAAGAAGGCGATTCGATTTGATCTAAACCTTTCCACGGGGGGATGCAAGATTTCTGAGTCGATATGCCTCAGCAGGGTCCGAAGCATATGCAGCTAAGGCAAGTAGAACAGACTGCAAAACAAATCGATTCCTGATTTAATTTCGCCGCAGGAAATTGACAAAAACGTGCAATAAGTGAAATTTCAAGTACCTTTTTCGGAGAATTCAGAAGATCTGCGTATCGAGTTAGAGCTGTTCTTAAGGTGCATGGAGGGAATGGAGTCGGCAATGAACCTCCGGCGAGTGGATTACCGTCTTCTTGATCGACATGAAGTGAGAAGAATACATTTGGGGGGAGATTTAGTAACTTCTCGGCTTCTTCCACGACTTCGATTGAATTCTCACAGTAGACGCCGACATGGTCCCCTGTTTCGTACCTGTGATAAAAAAAGTGTTGGAATTTTAACGATCGACCACCAATTAGACTAATATACGAAGCAGGATAATAACAAAGAACAATATATGTTGTAACGGATTAGGATTAATGATCGAATAACAAACAAAAACGTAAAGAAAGACACAGATTTACGTAGTTCACCATCAACGTATTGGCTGCATCACACACAAAAATGGAGAGCAAATTTATCGAGAACGGCTAGGTTACATAACACAGATACCGATTTTCGATACAGATTAACCTAAATTGCATACTGTAAGTCTATTTAAATAAACAAAAAAAATACATATTCAACTCAATACAAATTCAAAAGTCCAATACTGCATTAAACTCAAGCCAGGGCCACTCTGCGCCCCTGACCCCAAGCAAGGGGGACCCCTTGACCCCCCTGACTCGCTGACCGGGCAGCGAGACCCCGTAAAAACTCAACGAAGTGGCAAACTAAATTCAATACATATCAACAGTAAGGTTTCTCATTTTGCATCAAATCTAATTAAAGGCGACGACGATCACTAAAAAGAGGCTTACGAAAGTCCAGCGCCGGATATGTCAAACTCCAGATGAGTACACGAACGATCGGATGCAGGAGTGTGAAGCTCTTTTCTTACAGCTACATTGGCTCTTCAGGAAAGAAACATACAGTTGTTATAAAATGGATAATTTTAGACACAGAGAGAGTTAAGCAAGATTATTACCGGCAGGGATGTTGAGAATCATGGCCATTCGCTACGCCATTCTCCGAAATGGACACATCTCTGGTGTCGTGGTACACGACACGGTATTCCAAAATTGAGGCAGTGTACGGAGTAGAAACATCTGCATCATTCTCGCTTCGAAGCAACTTATCTAACACGGGCCACGCTAACTCGCGCCTACCTCGCCAAACGAGTTGGTAAATTACACTGTGTGAGGAGATCAATAGTAGAGAATCTATTTTTTCGACAATTATTACCATGCATAATAGTCATCTTCGAGGCATTGATCATCGTTTCCAAGTCCGACTGGCAGAAGCCGTATTGCTCCTGAAATTACGGAGACAGCAAGAAATACATGGGAAGAGAAGTAAGCAAAACATTGAAAAAGCCAACACACAACGAGAATGATTCGACTTAGATTATAAACTTCCCGAAAAATTGCTTATAAACACACATGTGGTTTGAAAATTCGGTACCATTTTCTATTGTGATTTAAAAGCTGCATGAGATTCCATTGAGTTTTAGAAAATATTGCATAAAATACTTTTTAAGGGATTCTATGCGATGCTTTCAAAATTATGTGTAATATTTTTTCTAAAATATTTCCACTTTTCCACTTCAAAGTATCATTTTTTAATTTAGAAAAAGTAATCGTACATTAACATTAAAATACGTTCGTTTACTTAAATTACAAACATACCATTACACATACAATTAGTTTATGCATAAAGTCAATAGAAAAAAATATCAAAAACTCTTTCACACTTTCATTGATCAATAAAATACTATTGCTCCTCTGTCCAGCTATTTTGTCTCATTTAGCTTAGGCACAAAATTTTAGGTGTTGTGTAACCAGTAATAATTAGAAAGTATATTAGTAAAAATAATTATAATTTAATAAAAATAATTATAGATTAATATTAAGATGACTTAATAGTTTAATTAAAATTAAAAAAAATTAATTATGAATTTTAAAATATAATTAAAGTGTATAACAAATTATGTTCGACGGACAAAAATAGAAAGAGTGGACAAATTAAATTGAACAAACAGAGTATTTCTTAGTCTATTACAAAATCTCAAATGACCCAATTGATTTGGGACTGAGGGAGTATAAGAAAACTTCTAAATCATGAAGTATGATGATTATAACAATTTTGCCTATCCTGCCTCGACAAGTGTTAAGAGTCCTAATTTTATTCTTTGAGAATTTCTTCTTCATTTTAATCGGATTAGAGTCTTGTTTTCAATTCTAATGAGATTGGGAATCCTGTTTTCAACTCTAACTTTGTCGAAAGCTATATTCTAACTCCATTCTTTTTTACTCTAACTTGATTGAGAGCCCACTTGGACCCGCTAACGATTTTGGCTATATTATCTTCAATCTTTCTTAGAAAATTAATTCTAAAATCCAGGCAAATATTATATTTTAAAACAATCGAATATGGTCCGAAACCGACGTACCTTGCTTAGCTAGCGATGCATCTACCGTTCTTCCAACCTGCACGACAAAGAAGATAAAAGTCGAAACATTATCAGTACAAAGTCAAGAACAGATTCTTGCCTAAATCTTCAAATACATCAACAGTACATACCTTATTGAAGTGTTCATGCTGCTTGTTCCCTAACCCGAATACGGCGTATTTGAGATTATTAAGCCATTCGCCCCTCTCATTCCCCTGCAACACAAAAGTCGGCGAATCAATCAGAAATCTCACTGCAGAACAAGAAGTGGATAGAAATACTTTAACCATTGTTGAGATTGTTTCACCCCAATAAGCCATTTATAGAATCGCGCTGCGTTATCAGTTGGAATAGCATCCCCATATCTGCAAAATCAGCAATCAACAAATTCAATGAAGTATGTGCAGAAAATGCAGAGACTTCTTGCTGATGAACACACAGAACAAATGCATTTGTCGATAAAGAAGACGCACGTGGCCATGAAGAAAATTGCTAGCGTCTCCTTCTTGAACTTCTCCTCGTACTCATCATCGTCAGCTGCATAATCATTCTGTCACGAGAAACAAGATGAATTTCAACTGTTACATCGTTGGAACAATTGTAGTTTCGCGGTAAACATAAGGGGAAATGACAAAAACAAGATTAAAACATCGAAAAAAAACTTACCAAGTCATAAACTTTAAAAGCAGCCTGATTATATCTAGACTTTGCTTCCTCAGCAAATGCCTGTTTATTGAAACATACAATTTTAAATCAACAGAATAAAATAAGGATCACTTAAGTTTGAGTTTTTTTATCCAGTTTTTTAATATTTGAGCTCTTTGTTCTTCGTTCATCCGGAAAAAAAAAAAAGCATTTTCTACTCTCATAAATATTGTTTAAATCAAAAGTCTAGGTATCCAAATTCAATCCAGAGTAAAAGAAACACACCGTTATAATTGTCTCATTTATGTACAAAATGATGCTCGAAGAATTGCATATGTTAAGTACAACAATCGAAAGGAATCTTGCAATTGGGAACATTTTAGTCTTATCAACTAGTGAAAATATGGTTTGTGTTTTCGAATTAGTTTTCCCCTTGAAAAACCACAAACAGTTTTTATAATGAAACACATGCCAAATATCAAATCAAATATGTTTACTTATATTTTCAAATCATTTTTAACAGTAATTATCAACGAACCTTTTTTTAAGAACAAAAGTATTTTATCAAATATCTATTTTTTATTTTTTTTTCGAAAATATTACATTAAGAACATAGTTTTTATACAAATTATCATATACAACACTTATTTACATTACATAAAATATTTAATTTTTTATTTAATTTTTTTACTATACAAAACTCGAAAATATATCTAAACACAACCATATTTTTCCATGTGCACATAGTTAAGATTAAATTTTTAGGATTTGTTCTGTTGTGTAACTAAAGTATCATTTTGAAATTTTATAATAGATTAAAAAATAATAATATTTAATTGGTAAGTGAAAATGTATAAAAAAATTTAATTTTTTGGTCATTTTACATTATATATATATTAATATGTACAAAAAAAATTCCCTCCGTCTGAGCTAATTTGTCACTTTAGTTGGGACACGAGTTTTAGATATTACTTAGTAAGTAATATTTATGATATAATAAAAATAATTATAAATTAAAATTTAAAAAATGAAAAATAGTTTAATAAAAATATAATTATATTTCCCAAAAAAAGAGAATGACAATTTATGTGGGACACACGGATATATATTTTATTTTAATTGAAACTAGAATATTACTCCATGAGTCTCTATCATATCTTTTTTAGTTATTGTACTATCAACCTAACATTACAAATATTCTTCCAATTTATAATATATTACACAAATATCATTATATTTATATTATAAGGTTAATTTAGTTTTTTTACCTTTATTTCTACTTTATCCCAATATAATACTAATATTTCTAAAACTTCGTGCAATAAGCAAATAGATATATAATATGGGAAGGAGAGAGTATTTTCCTTCAAAAAGTTATATCACACAATACACTTATTTTGTTAGGGTGTGTTTGTTTGAGGAATTTTGCCAAAAATCTACTATTTATCCAAAAAAATTTCGCCAAAAACATTACATCAAACACCTAATTTTTTATTTTTTATATTATTTTAAAAATCAATTTTTCATTAAACAGCTCATTCAAATCTCAAATGAAAATCCAAACCTCAATATATAATACATAAAATTTATTTTTATTCAAAATATCAAATCTATAATTCTTTCCATCCAAAAATTTTACTGTTCCTAAATTTCAACAAATCACAAGGAACGAAACGAACTCAGCCAATCAAATAAACACACGTTGTTGTAACACGAAAACACACAAAATCAAAAGTATCAATACTCTTCAACTTCTTAGCTAAATCTACCAAAAACCTTTCACCAATTTTCTAATTCCATTAAATACCTAAATCTCTACTTCCACAAAATTCTGCAAAGTTTCAGAAATTCGAAAATCCTTACTGTATATTCCTGATTTTACCGATGCATTTTACCTTAGCAAAGCCTTCAGCATTGCCAGTCTGCGTCCCAAAAAATACACTCACTCTCTGCTTTCCATCATCTTCCTCCCGCTCCGCCACCGCCGCCGCCGCCTTCTTTTTCGGAAGCTCCGCCGGCAGTTTTTCCCTGGATCCACCGAGCCACCGCCACACCACCACACACCCTAAGAGCACCGCGAAGGAAGTAGTAATCGCCATTAAAACGTCAATATTCGTCAGCAACATCGCAAACAGATCCAGCTGCGGCGGCGACTCCGATTCCATGACCTTCCGGCTGATTCCGACCTCCTGAAATTACTGAACCACTTGGAAACAGAAATATCCCCAAACTTACTAACTACAACTCCATTCGCTGCTGAACATCGACGAATGGCCGGAAAATGGAAGGGAAGAAGAGCAGGAAATGCAGTGCAGGCGACGAGTGATTGAAAGAGAAATAACTAAAAGAGTGCTACCAAACCACTTGAGCAGCATGAACAGCAGCTGCACCAAACACCGCTTAACCGTGGTAAGAAATTGGCAGCTCTGGTACTTACATATATACTTAACTATGGTTAGCCATTCCATTGCCATTTGCCAGCGCTGGCTTGTGCGTTAGGTGTGATCTGCGGCTGGAGTTTAAACTCGTTTTCTTTATTATATTCTAAGTTTTTCGTTTTGTTTTTTCTTTTACTTTGAAATATTTAAAGATATTTCTTTCGTCTCAATACAATAGTATTGTTTTATTATTTTTGTCCGTTTTAAAACACAGTCTATGTCACTATAAAAATTATCCTTATTTTTTTATTATTATTACACAAATCTCACTACTTTTTATATTAATACACTCACAAGGACAAAAAAGTCTTTTACCCGTACTTTTTACCCACTACCAATATAATATCAATATTCTCGTGCTAAACACAAGCCATACTATAATTTTGAAATGGAGGGAGTATTATAATACAATTCTACAAAGTAACCTCTTATGGTTTGTTCTTTTATCATTTAAAATTTGAATTAATATTCTTCACTTTATATAATTTTAATAAAAATATCACATCAAAATATTATTTAAAAAAAATTAAATCAACATTACATTTTAAATTAATTTTTAAATAATTTATTATTAATAACTTAATAACCTGAGCTACTTAAAATATTGTGTTCCTAACAAACTGGGTGTTTTTAGGAGGTTGGAGGGAGTAATAGTAATTGTAGTATTTCAACAGGTTTTTATTATTATTACCATATATATATATATCTATAAAAATAATTTAAACACATTTTTCATTTAGTTATATTTAACAAAAAATTAATTTTTCATTTTAAATATTATCCTAATACTTATTTATATTATACTACTTCTGTTTACTTTAAAATTTTGCATTTGATTTTTAGGGGTCGATATTTGAATATTAATTATTATATCAAAATATACTACAAATTAATAAAAAAATATTACTTCTATAATATAAATATAATAATATTAAAATTAAATATAAATTTATTAAGTGGATAAAAATTGTATTAAATAACTATTTTAATTTAAAAATTTTCTCATCAAAATCAGACCTAAAACTCAATCGACACAAGCAGACACGGCTTATCAATTCAGTCAAACTTTTTCAAATCAAACACAAGTATAACCATTGCATGATGTATGTATATTATTGTCCTGTAAGGAATGACCGGTGGTATAGGGGTTAAACTTATGATCGTAAAATTATGGGTTCAAATCTCCGATGTTTTAGGTCATCTACCACGTATGGTTCGCCTAGTGTGATTTTTCGGTCGGGCCTAGTTTGCAGTGTTTGATCATATACATAATTTTTAGAGTCCACATTTTGCTTTTAGTAATTGATTTAGATGGATTTCTACGGATTTGATTGAATTCTTCGTAGATTTATATGAAGATGGTAAAATAATTTTTTTATAAATATATATTAATTATATAAATTTATATCAAACAACAAATTTTATAAATATATGAAATAATTATTAATAAAATAATATTTAATATTAATAAATAATACTCACTTTGTTTCAATACAATAGTCTTTACCATTTTTGTCCGTCTTAAAACAATAGTCTCATTTCTATAAATAACCATATCACCGTAAAACTATCCCTATTTTTTTATTATTATTACACAATTGCCACTACTTTTTACACTAATATACTCACAAGGGCAAAAAAGTCATTTATCCTTACTTTTTACCGACTATCAATATAATATCAATATTCGTTCAACACAACAAGACAAGAGTATACTTTTGGGACGGATGGAGTATATAAGTATTAATAATGTAGAAGTATTGTAACATATGTAATACTACTATATTTTAGATTATTAATTTATAATTTATAATTTTAATATTATATTATCATTCAATATATCAAATTTGTTTTATATTTCTTTATTAGTTATTATTATTATTATGTATATAACAGTTTTACATAAAAAAGTATACGTATATAAATAAAATAAAAAATATAGTTTATGATTTTTGAAAAAACATAAAATAAATAAATAAATATAAATTAACGGTTCAACAAAAAATATATATTTAAATATCTATTTTACCGTCATCGTAACGATAATACAGTGTATTCGGTAATTGAAAAGAAAAGACAACAGTAATACATATTTATTATAATAATAATATTTTAAAAAATTATATTTATAATATAAAAATATATATTTAAAAAAAATCATAATAATTTACTAATATATTTTAGTTTTAAATTATTATTTTTATTAAAAATTATTATAATAGTAATAAGTATTATCATATTATTGATCACATATACAACAACAACAACAATAATAATAATAATAATAATAATAATAATAATAATAATTTTAAGAACTTATTAAAATCTCTTAAGATTATGAGAAATTTGTCCATGTACAAAATTTTCTATTAAAATCCATTAAAATTCATAGATTTTAAAAGTCCATTGATTGTTGAATATCTCAAGATTTTAAAAGAGTTTTAAAAGTCTATATTGAATACTTTAAGATTTTAAAAAGACTTTTAAAAGTTTTGATTGAATATACCAGATTTCGAAAATGCAACAAAATCATACAAAATCTATATTGAATACACCTCCAAAATATCAATTTATTAGAGCTAGTATTGTGTGAAATTACCGATTTTTGATTCACTGACCAAATTCGAATTAAATTCAAAATTTTGAATTTGGTAACTTTGTAATTTGGACGATCTTCAAATGTGCCAAATTTAATATTCTCGAAATTATTTGAATATAATTTTACTATTTATCTAATTCGAATGTACCGATTTCGAATTAAAATAATTATTTTATTTAATACTCCCTCCGTCCTAAAACTATAGTCTGATTGTGTTTGACACAGTATTTAAAAAATATTGATATTATATTGATTGGAGGTAAAAAATACGGGCAAAAGACTATTGTAAGTGAATTTGTACAGTGACAATTGTGTAATAATAATGAAAAAGTAAAGGTAGTTTTACAGTGATATGATTATTATGAAAATGAGACTATAGTTTTGAGACGAACAAAAATGATAAATAAGACTATTGTATTGGGACTGAGGAAATATTATATTTATATATCTTTTATTTTTCAAAAAATTATAATTTTATATTATTTATTTTATTTATATTTAATTATATTACTATAGTATTTTAAATAAATTAATAAGTTTAAATCATCACAATTCAAATTTATTAGGTTTATAATGAATTCGATCAATTCGTTGAATTTAAATTAATTTTGAATTGAGAAATTGAATGAAAAATATTATTCGAAATTGAATTTTGCATTTTCTTTCAAAAAAATCAAATTCAATTATCCGAATTACCAATTTCGATTCACACCCCTAATTAGAGCTTATTAATCTAATGCTTAGGGTTAACCTGCAGGCGAATAAGCAAATCCTATGCGACATATTAAAGTCGTTGTTTTCAAAACTACGACTTTAAAAAAACTTTATAAACACGACTTTAAGTGGCTGATATAAAGTAAGTCGTAGTCACTTGTTGCTGAGCATCCTTAACACTTTTTGCAGCCGTCGTTGGAGAGGCAACTCTGCCCCTACAGCTTTTCTCCGCCGGTTTCTCGCTTCGCGCTACAATGGATGCTGTTCAGGTAAGCCGCCTTTCACTCACGACGAGCTCTCGAGTTTCAGTTATGCCTGTTGTTGTTTCATCTGCAACGATTCATTTGATTAACTTGTTTTTTTTTTTGAAAGAGTTTATGATGTGTCATGTGATACGAATGTATTGGATGATTTCATATTGACTTCAACTGCTTATTGTAACCCTATCTAAAATTGTGGATGAATCTAAGCTACCTGCAGGTTTTGCTTGAGAATTATGGGAAATTATTGATTATTTTGTTTATTTCCGTTGATTTATTGGAAATGAAGAACTTGATGCTAAGTGGTTAATGCGTTTGTGTAATTATTTGTCGCAGCCTCAGAAGGATAATGAATATACATTCGTTCTTGAGCTTGCTGAAACTGATCCCTTCTATGAAAAAAAGAAGGTTTGAGAGTTCTGAGTAGCAAATTGCTTGTTAGATTGTGTTGTTAGTATATATATCCATGTATCTTTATCTTTTTTTTTTTTTTTTTTTTTTTTTTTTTTTCTGATCTCTAATCTTGGCGTAGAAATTACTTGAACATATGGATTTTGGTTCAAAGATATCGATGAGTCTTAAAAGATCTTCTACACCTGATCAGCAGAAGGACTTCTTAAACGCCTTTCTTCAATGTGCAAGAATAATAAAGTTAAATGAGGTATTATTCTTTGGTAACCATTTACTTTGAGTGAATTTTTCCCCTACTTGGTTAAGATTTCATATATATATGTATCTATAATACCTTTCTAAGGGGATATATATGAGAAATTCCACTTTTTTGAATCTTAAGAGGATCATAGATGAAGAGGGGTTTGGGAGATTAATATTGTTCGTGGGAGTATAACAGGCTATAAATGAGTCTAATTGCTATTGGTACAGCGTAGAACTTCCAGAAAATTTATCATTTTTTTAGAATTAAATGTATTTATTTTATTTTTTTGATCGGAAAAGTATTTTAAATTGGTTTTATGACCAAAGATTACATGGTTAATTGGTTATCCAGTCTAAGATTGTCATTACCAGTGGCCAGTGAATTCTTAACTGAATGTATTTTAATATTAGTATCTACTGTAATGTAGAAAAAAAAAAAAAAAAAGCAATACTCTGAAATAAAACAATCATTTAGACCAGAAATTCTGATTTATTATGTTGACCGAAACACTTTTACTTGTTTAATATGAATTCTTAGAGGAAAAAACTCTCACTGGCTCGTGTTTCAGGTAGAATTGTATTTTGCTAGTGATGCAAGTAATACAATGGAATCATGTAGCCCAGGAAATGAATTGGAAGCTCTCAATTCAATACTTGAAGCCATTGATAAGTCTACATCAGGAGAAACGATGAAAGATACACAACAAAATTTACGAGATGCAATTATTAACAGAATCCATGAAGTTGGGAGCACGTTCGGTGAAGAGAAAAAAATCTTAGAAGACCCTAACTCTGACAAAGAGAAATGCCTATTAGATTGGGGAATCCATAATGGTGTAAAAACCAAATTGGATATAGCTCGTGAGTATCAGCTAATACCTTGTTCTGTTTAGTCCTTGCTTGTTAAATGCTGGTTTCATGTGTTAGAGATTGTTTTAACTTCAGACCTAAACAAGTCTAAATGTTTTTGGTAATTTCAGATGAGGTTTGGTTGTGGTGTTTGATTTTCGCTCCTTAAATCTTTGAAGCTAATCTTTTTTCTCACTCAAAAAATCTCCTTACTTTCATAAAAAATTGATCATGTTTAATGTTTTGTACTTGATGGTAGATGTTGAAGGGGCAGGAAGAGGAGCCATAGCTAAAGAGGACATGAAAATCGGAGATATTGCCTTGGAGATCCCTATTTCTGTTATCATATCTGGGGATCTTTTGTATAAATCTGACATGGTAATCTTTTTGCCTTATAAGCTTTTGTGTATGTAAGGATTTTCTATGAAGTTCCTTATCTGCTTATTCTAAATAATTCCATTTTGAAGATAGTTTCCTATTCTTGAAAAAATTGATGGAATTTCTGAGGAGACAATGCTGCTCTTGTGGAGCATGAAAGAGAAGTACAACAGCAATTCTGACTTCAAATTATATTTTGATACATTGCCAGAAAAATTTAACACAGGTAAATTTTCTGCTATAAGTTCTGGTTCAGGTAACTTATAAATTATAGATTAGTTTGATGATCTTTTTTTATTTTTTGGTGACTCAGGTTTGAGCTTTGGAATTGATGCTGTGATGGCTTTGGATGGAACTTTGCTGTTAGATGAAATTGTGCAAGCCAAAGAGGTGTGGCGCGTTCAATATCTAAATCCTGATGGATTCTAACTTCAAACTATTCTTATTACCAAAACTGTTATTGTTTTAAGAAGAATATATATATATAATATTTCGACTCAGAATAAGAAGATGTGATTTCAAATTGAACAAACTTAGAAGAACTACCTAAATTTCAATATGTTTTGAGTAAATATATTCTGAGGGGCTTTGGTGAGTTCCCAGTGATAGGGCATATGATGAAAAGCATTCAAAGTTGTTAGCGCTGATACTCTGTTTTACACTGCATCAGCTTCTTGACATTTTCTAGTTATAAGCTTCTGTATCAATTTTACGTGAATAATAAGATGGAAAGAGTTATTGGCATGTGATTGCACTTTCTTTATAGATAAGGAGAAATGGTTTATAGTTGAACTTAGCATCCTATATGCAGGATATTGTGCGACTGAACCAGCATATCTTGCACAAATCATTCGTTTATAATTTGACTAGTCTCTTCAAACAATATAATCTTTGATAGGCTGCCAGGACATTGTTAACTATGTTGATTTATTTTTATTCTTCATTGTATATGAGTATTTAGGACATTTATGCAACTTATCTTTTGTTTTAGCACCTTCGCAGTCAATACGACGAGCTTTTCCCAGCATTGTCCAAGCATTATCCAGATGTCTTTCCCCCACATTTGTACACATGGGAACAGTTCTTATGGGCTTGCGAGCTTTGGTACTCAAATAGCATGAAACTTATCTTCGATGATGGAAAAATCAAGACCTGCTTAGTTCCTATTGCTGGCTTTCTCAATCACTCGGTAATTTTGGTTTATATGCTCCATACTTTTATGTTCCTCTAATGTAATTCTTTAATAAGTTTCAATTCATTGATTGATTACGGCGTATATGAATTTGTTTATGTACATTTCAGCTATTTCTTGATGCTGTCCAAGAAATTGTCTATACCCTCATTAGATTTCTATCATTCACAGATATGCCCACACATAACGCAGTATGGAAAAATTGATACATCTACAAACTCCTTGAAATTTATTGTGTCAAGACCCTGCCGTACCGGGGAACAATGCTTTCTTGGTTATGGGAAATTCTCCAGTTCTCATCTGCTGACGTTCTATGGCTTTTTACCCAAACGTGAAAATCCTTATGATGTTATCTCGCTAGGTATGTTTCTTTACTTGCCTTCGTGCATTATTAAGCATGACCATGAGAGATTTTCAAATTCCAAAATGAAAAACATAGATTTGTTCTTATCCTTAGGAAATAATTGGATGGGTGTTTTCCAATTACACCAGTTTCTTTTAGCTCAATCTCTATTGAAAAAAGCTCAAGCTCAACTATGCTCAAGTTTTTGGAGCTTGAGTTTGGAATATGCTATAAAAGTGGTACAGATACATCGGCAGAAAATTTGGTGGCACATAATTTGAGTGAAAGTTCTGGGAAAATATTATTAAGCTCTTTGAGCTCAATAATTAATTCGAGCTACTTGATGCTCAATTTAATTTTATATATTAATTCAGTTAATTCGACTGTGTTCACCTCTAATTCTACCCATTTGAAGGAAGTTGTTCTAAACTAAAAGTAGGGAAGTCTGATTTCTTGTTGGCTTGCTTAAAATGAAATCATTTTTATTTATGTAATTTGATCTATAGAAAAAAGATCTATTATTTCCCTCCCTTTTTTTTTTTATTTACCGGTTAAAAGGTATAAGCTCTGTTTAGATAAAAAAATTTTGAATTTTGAAAATTTTTAGTAATAATAAAAAGTTGAGTATGTGACTTGATGTTTGTTAAGATATTATAAATATTTTGATGTGATGTTTTAAAAGAAATTACTATTGATAAATAATGTTAAAATTTCTAAATCTTTGCACCTAAGTATTCTCATTATTTCTCACCCTAATTAGTAATTACTTTAGGCTCATCATATTGTTCTAGATATCGATGAAGATGCTGAAGACGGTGCACCAGCACCAGAATGGAGCTCTCACATGGTTAGAGGGACATGGCTCTCCCGAAACCACGGAATCTTTCATTATGGATTGCCAGCTCCATTACTCGACCATCTTCGCAGAGCTAGAAATCCGACATGGCAATCAAACAACCCGGTGAATTCTTGCTTACTCTATTTATAAGAATTTTCACATAATTTCAATTCTATTTCGGTCATTTAGTTGCTTATTTAAGTACCATTGTTGAACAGGTAGTTTTAGGATAATAATGTCTCGATTCATATTGAAATTTCGAACGAGATTGGACTTATAAATAAAAAAGCAGTGTTTACTTATTTTGTTGGACACTCTTTTATATCTAACGTTTACATACCACCTTTTTTTAGACACGGGAAATGTTGGAAACCGACCTAGATCTACTTAGAGATTTGAGTTCTACTTTCGAAGCAATGATAGAAGCATTTGGTGAAGAAAACCCCGAAAATAGGTATGTTCTACCTCCGTATAAATAGATTTGCTTGATTTTTTATTTTTGTGTGGTACGAGGAACTGTTAGAAATATAAAAAATAATATTTTGTGTTGAATTATTTTTTATGAGTGGATAATATATATACTACCTACGTCCTGAAAGAAGAATAATGTTTACTTTTTGCACGTAAATTTTTTAATATTAGTATTATATTAGTTTATAGTGAAAAAGACAAAAATACTCCTATTAGATTATATTATATAAAAGTAATGACATTTGTATAATATATTGGAAATTGTAAAGGTATTAATTATGAGGTAGTACAATTACTAAATAAGGAAATAATATCATTGTTTTAGGAGGGACAAATTATAAAAATGAATGTAGTATTATATTAATGTATGTGTATATATGTATTTTTTTAATAATATTTATGGGAAATTATTCCATTGGGAAATGTCGAGTGAATTTGCAGTGAAGGTGCGGCAGGTTGGGATGTAAAACTTGCAATGGAGTTCAAAATTTTGCAGAGAAGGATCGTGTCCTCGATTTTGGCTTCGTGCGAATCTGGCTGTAAGTTGTTAGATTCTGCACTAAATTAAGTTTAATATCCCTTAGATCAATCTTCTCTACTTCAAATATGAATTCATTTATTTGGCTAGATTGTTGTCGAATATGCTTTAGTTTCTATGTGCTTTGGGTTGTAAATTTGCATGCACCTATTAAGCTTATTACAACCTTTTAATCTCGAGGATAAATTATTTCCTTAATTCCAATACTTTTTTGTATTTGGATTTGAGTTTTTTATTTGAATTTTAATTTAAATAATATTTTAATGTGATATTTTATGAGAGAAAATTATGTATTTTTATTGAGGATCGGGCAAGTTGAATAATAAAAAAAAAAATTAGTTCCAAGAGCAAACCAAACTGTGCAACTTTTTTTTGTTTTTTTGTAGTACTTCTTCTGTTCTACTTATTGTGTCTGTCACTTCTCATATTTTTTTTTAAAAAAAAAACTATGCATTTTAATATTATTAATTTTCTAATTTATAACTTTTTAAATTTTAATTAAATCAATTAATTATTTTAAACTTAATTTATAATTATATTTATTATATGATAATTACTATCAATAATATATATTTAATTATTTACTATTATACACCTTTTAAATTTTTGTATCTATAGTAACAAATATACAATTTTTTTGCCGGCTTACGTCCCAGAAGAACAACTTTTTTGCCTTTTACACCCCAAGAATAGTTTTTTCTTTAGCTATGACCCACAAGAACAATTTTTTCTCCAGCTACGACCCCATGAGAATAATATATTCAAGATCAAAAAATGTTACGGAAATTCCTTGGAGACTTTCGACACAAGACACCTCCACAGGTCACAAGAGATTCCCACAACGACCCAATGTCTGATTCCTCTCAATCAACCCTACCAACGAACCAGACTCTGATACTACATGTTACGAAAATTTTCAGGAAATCAAGATGAGATAACAAAGACAAAAGAACACAAGAATTTGGTAACCCAGTTCGATCACGATGCCAAGCCAAAAATTTTACTATAAAATATGCAGGCACATGTTAAAGTGAAAATACATGGATATTTATAGTCTAAGTCTATGTTAATAATATCTAAATCCTATATCTAAAATTTAGAATATAATATCTAAATTATATCCCTAAATTTTAGGATATAATCAGGTTTCATATCTCAACAATCTCCCACTTGAAGACTAATTACATCTTCCACTTCAACATTATACTCCATCGGCAATGACAACACCAAGTCTCCTTCTTCACTCATCGAGGCTAATTGAAGTTGAACATAACCTCAACTCATCTAAGGTGGTGTCCTTAGAATGTCTTTTAGGATTGCTCATAAATTGACTCACTACTCCCACTACACATGCTTTTCACCTCCTAAAGGTATCAAAAACATCATATTTACACTTAAGGAAATATACTCATACCTCCCTTGTAACGTCGTCAATGAACGCGGTGTAGTACTGTAAGCCTCCAACGGTCGATACAAAAGCTGGTTCCCGCAGGTCCGTATGAACCAACTCCAACTTTTCCTTTTCCAAGTCTCTCCCACCCTTTGAGAACGCCACCTTTAGTTGCTTCCCAAAGATACAGTCCTCGCATACTCTAATATTAATGGACTTGAGACCTGACAATCTTCCCTTTGAAATGAGCTCCCCTATTCCCTTCTCGCTCATGTGTCCGAGACGAGAATGCCATAAATTTGTGTCATTATTTATGGCCACGGAACTGATTTCGTCTTGCATGGTTTTCGTCATGTAGAGAGTTTCATCTCTTCTCCCTTGGGCCACCACAATGGATCCTTGAGTTACCTTCCACGACTTAGTTTAAAAAACTGTCAAGTAACCTACCTCATCCAATTGTTCAACGGAAATCAGATTCCGTTTCAGACCCAAAACATGGCTCACGTCATTCAATCTCCACTCCCCACCATTCGGTGTTCTGATTCGAATAATTCCTTTACCTAAAATTTTCAGTGTCTCATCATTTCCACTCCCCACTGCATGAGTGAAATGACACTCGTGAGACCAAGATCCATGACTCTATTGGACTGCTGACGTTTAAAATCAGCACATCGGATATCTCATCCGTTGTGTTTGTCAAACCCTGATCCTTCTCCAGTGCCCTGCACTCTCGTTTCAAGTGCCCCTTACAATTCCAACATACCACCTGACTTGCATCTTCATTGTCCTTGTTCTTCAGCTTCAACTTTGACCATTCTTGATCTTCACCCTTTCCTTTTGCCTCGGATCTAAATTCAGTCGAGACATTCTCCCAAAGGGTTAGTTGAACCGCACTTATTGTCTTCCTATCGATCTTCTTGTACTCGACTTCATCCATCTTGACTCCCACAAACAAACCTAAGGTTCACTTGATATTAGAGCACATCGGATATCTCCTCCGTTGCGTTTCCCGAAACCCTTATCCTTCCCTGCCAACCTTGCACCACCTATCATAGAGGGACCCGCTGCCTAACCTACCAGTCGGGACCGACCCAACACCGCCATGAGACTTTCGACACAAGGCACCTCCGCAGGTCACAAGGGATTCCCACAACGACCCAATGTCCGATTCCTCTCAATCCACCCTACCATCAAACCAAGCTCTGATACCACTTGTTACGAAAATTTCCAGGAAATCAAGATAAAATAATAAAGACAAAAGAACACAAGAATTTGGTAACACAGTTTGATCACAATGATCTACGTCTGAGGGCGCTGCCAAGCCAGAAATTCTACTATAAAGTAAGCAGACACATGTTAAAGTGAGAATACATGGATATTTATAGTCTAAGTCTATGTCAATAATATTCAAATCCTATCTCTAAAATTTAGAATATAATATCTAAATTATATCCCTAAATTTTAGGATATAATCAGGCTTCATATTTCAACAAAAAAATATATTCAAGATCGAATAATAAATAATACTACCTCTGTCCGGCTCGACTCTAAAGATCTCATTTACTTTTTGCGTATTAGATTTTTGAATATTAATTATTATATCAAAATATTGTACAAATTAAGAAAAAAAATTACAAAAATACTTTCATTAGTATTTTATAATACTAATAGAAGAACATTTATATAAAAAATTATACAAATATAAGAATATTTTTAATATTAAGTATAATGACGCAAAAGATAAATGTGACCCTTAAAGACGAATCGAGAAAGTATATAAATTTTCTACACAAGTCAGTAACATGGACTTCATATTCATAATCAATAGTTGAGGGCATGTTTGACAATTAGCTCATAGTTGTTAGCTAATTCAATTAGTTAGTTGTTTGTATTAGAATATTTAAAAAAATAATTGTTTGATATTTAACTGTTTATATGTAAAATGACAATCGATGACATTTCGATTTTAGTTTTTTCTAATATATTCAATTGTGTTCTTTTGAGTTTTAGAATATTTGAAATTTTGTTATTAGTTATTGAAAATTGTAAAAGTATTATAAAATAATATTTATTTTATTATAATATAACACACCAAAGCCCGATAGATTGTTATGTCTAATTCAATAAACAACGTACAAGTATATGAATTGGCCGGGATCCTGTGTGATCCGGTCAAGTCAACAATGTCAGCATAAATACACATAGTACAACATATGTAAAGTTATAAAATATGTTTAATTATAATATAACACACCATGCTAACTTGACCAAATCAGCAGTTACCCATGCCGATATGAATTATTATATCAGAACATAGTACAAATTAAGAAAAAATTGCAAAAATACTTCAATTAGTGTCTTATAATACTAATAGAAGAACATTTGTACAAAAAATTATACAAATATAAATAAATTTTTAATGTTAAGTACAATGACGCAAAATGTAAATGAGACTCTTAGAGGCAGACGGAGAGAGTATAACACATATATCTAAACTCCTATGTCCATCTACATTTACGATGATTTGGGTCCCTTAAAAACACAATGCTAACAAACTCAATATTAATATAACTTTCAGTTTACCAAAAATTGGTATACCAAATAGTTCGATATGGTATGACCTTTTTCCATACCATATTTCAACACAGGATACAACAATCACACAACAATCACGCATCTTATGAGGTGTTGCTACAAGTAATGGAATTGCAGATAAATGAGATAAATAACGAAATTATAAACTGATCAATATAGACAGATGAAATAATAAGTTGTCCTCTGTAAAACAATCGAACCAAAAACCGAAAATTATTGACTAATCTAAACTCTAGTCCTGCAACATATACGTACATATCTATATGTATTCCAATCCCAAGAACGATGTTGTGGAAAAATCCGCAGATGAAAGATACTAAGCATGCGAAAGATTGAAACCAAAATGAGATTATTGAAACTCCTGAGTAGTTAAATAAATTACCCGTCAACCGCACGTACACTAAAAACAAGTAAAGGAAAAACACCATAAACACATTACATAAATAGTTGCGCATACAACGCAAAGTTCCATGCTTTCCATGTATCTACATATTACTCCCCCTCCTTCCCACATATAATGTCATATTTTCTAACACATCATATTTTAAATTTTATAATTTATGATTTATTTACTTTTAATTAGACTAATTAGTTATATTAATCTTAATTTATAATTATTTTATTATATTGTAATTAATTTTACTAATACATTTTAATTATTTGCTAATTATACTCCTTTTAAATTTCACGTCTACAGTAACTATGACATTATATCCGGAACGGATAGAGTAATACACTACTCAAAATCTACGGACAAAAAGTACATATTCATAGTTTGACATAGCAAACGCCCCAACTCGAACCATTTAACCTTGTAGACTATCCTAGTAATCAATACGTTGTGATTTCAGTTTGAAATTGAAATCATCACCTCTCACCTCATACGATTTCCAATAAAAATATGTTATTTTCTCTCATAAAACATCATATCAAAATACTACTTGAACAAAAATTCAAATCAACTAAAAATATCGAACCTCGCAAGAGCTCCAAACATATAGTTCTGTTTACTTATACTTTCGACTTTAATTTTTATACTATTCATAAAATTCTCTTTACAAAATGTCATATTTAAACTTATTTTCATGCAAAATATTAAATCAAAAATCTATCTTATATTCATACCATCACATGAGACGCCTATATTTCTTTCTGCATCATAAACTTACTTTTTATTCAACTTTTTACTATTCTCAAAATATATTTAAGTGTAATGCTTGCAAATCTAAAGATAGAACAATCGACCATAGAGAGTTATAGCCAACGCAAAGGTAAGGTATAAATTTTGTTATGGCATAATAAGTTTCCTAACACAACGGGCATTTTAATTTCGACAATTGACAAACATATTTCCCACTAGCACAACAAGCCATCATAACGAACTTCATAATTTCCCAAACGCATTATATAACTTCAAATGATTATAAATAACCCGAGAAACTGCTGTAAAGAATTCATGTGAATAATCAAACTCAAGATAAAGCATGAAAATAGAGATATGCAGATATACCGTCGCCGCAAATGGATTGTTTCGGTGTATACTTCATCGATTATTTTTTAAATTTCTTCTTTTTCTTCTTCCCCTTCTTTTGCTTCACCTTTTTCTCGACATCCGGAATCTCCACAACAGGCCCCGGCAAAACCCCCTTCTTCAATGCACTACCTCTTGGCATAACCGAGGGCGGCAATCTCAAACTTTCCGGAGGCAACGGATTCTGAGGCTTCCAAATTAAGTTGCTCTTCATCGAAAACCGGACCCTCTTCACACTCTTGTCCGAGCTCGTTGTCATCCCATTTTCGTTCGGACAACAATGATCACTATCCATCCTTTTCTGCTTACTATTTTTTAAAGAACTTTCGAATGAGTCGGAGTCTGAATCCGAGTCTTCATCCGTTTCCGTACCTATTTCGGCGCCAAACTTATCGAAATGCTCCCGAAGATTAGATATAACATCTTGATTCAAAGACAACGCAGCTTCTCCATCGATTTCATCTTCAAAACTACTAATCAATCGCACATTGCCATCGCCATTAACCCTATCCGAATCATCGTCATCACTCTTCTTCTTCGGCTTCATCTTCTTCTTCCTCCTCTGCTTATCGGTGATTCGATCAAAATTCATCGGGGCAATCAATGGAGGCATCTCAACATCGTAACGATAATCCGGCTCGACAATTTCAACTCCAGACGACACTAGATCGTTTTCCAACTTGAGAAACTCGCTGTGTAACCCCAACACAACCTTCCGATTGCCGGGAACGCAATCTGGCGATGATCCGAGGACGTAAAGCCTCCCCGAAAACCCCATTCTCAAAGCAACTACACCCAACAATGTATCCCCATCCTTCTCATCGAATTCCATTCCCATCTTCTTCTTCGACAGCAAATCCTTTCCCATCCTCAAAAACTCATCGAACAAACAGGTCTTCACCTTCCCCAACAATATCTTATCCTCACATCTCATCAGAACCTCCAAAAATGGCCGCAAAACCGCGTCCACAACCTCGATCCTCGCCGGAAAACCGCCGACGGCCTTCAATTCCTCCAGAAACACAGAAACCACGTGGTAATTCACACCGCTCCCCTGCAGAGCCGTTTTGTCGTCCGCCATTAAAGCATCGCTCTGCAAAACCCTAAAATACTCCGTCAATACATCTACATCCCAATTTCTCATCCTCATCAGCTCAAATAACGCCTTCACGAAGCGGCGAATCAGTAGGTAGAACTTGTCCAATCTCAATCTGTCGATCCCCGGCCACTCGCGGCGGAGAGTCTGCAGAAATCCTCGGAAAAACTCCAAACTGATGGGCGGATGGAGCGAGAGGAAGAGAGAGGCTAACCGATCGATGAGCGCGGCCTGATTGGAGGCCTTGTCGGCGTGCCAGAGGGAGTAGAAGATGCCTTTCCAGAGGCGTTTGATGTCCCATTCGGAGAGAGACTGGGAGTGGGAGGCGAGCCACGAGTGGATGAGGCGGAGCGATTGGGAACGGACCGACGTGCTGCAGGAGGCGAGATACTTGATCAGCGCCGGTCCGGTGGCGGATGCGAGCGCCGGGAGAAGGGGGTTGGGCTCTCGCCGCCGCTTCTTCATCGATCGGAGGAATTCTGGATTTGGATTTCTCGAATTAATTAGGGTTTCGATTTTGAACAAGTTACCGCTACCGTCTGTTTATTCCTAATTACAGTCAGTTGTTTTAGGGGTATGTTTTGGGGTGAAAAAAAAAAAAAAAAGACTAAAACATAACAAGCAATAGTATTGTTGTTTAATAAACTATTAATTTTTTTATTTTAATAAGTGTATTGTATATCTAACATTATAAATATCATTTTAATTTATAATATATTATATAAATATCATTACTTCATATTATACGAATATTAATAAAGTTAATTTAATATTTTTATTTTTATTTTTATTTTTAATATAATAATAATATTTCTAAAATTTTGTGAAAAAAACAAACTGATATTTAGATATGAGAGGGAGGGAGTACTATAAAAATATACTCCCATTCATCCAGGAAAAAGAATATAATCTAATTTTTTGAAATAAATCTTTGAATATTAGTACTGCCTCCGTCCCAAACATCCTGCAATATTTCCTTTTTGATATGTCCCAAATACCTTGCAATATTTCCAAAATATTAAATAATTAATTATACTTAATATTTGTCTCATACTTTATCCTCTAGCATCATCTAAATAAAAAAAATAAAATATATATTTCTGTCTTCATCATGTCACCTAATTTCTAAATTATCCTACCTAATACTACCCACCTAAAAATTCGTGCCAAAAACAAATTTTGCACCTTGTTTGGAACGTATTATTCTAGTAAGTAATTAAAAAAGATAAAAATATTTGTAAAAGTAATAATATTTTTATAATATATTGTAACTTAATAATATATTAATTATGTTAGTACAATTATTAAATTATAAAAAAAATATATATTCTCCTTATGGTGCAGGAGAAGTATATTTTTTTCTAAAATAAAAAATTAAAATTATTTCAAATTTATGTATTCAACATTAAACAATATAGATACTTATACTAATTTTTGATATGCTAACTTGTTATAGATATGGTAAAATACGAGTGGTGTTAATTGGATTAAATTATATAATCATATATAGCAAATTACAATTGCATGCCGTCTTAGCAAATATTTGAAAAGAAATACTCCCTTGTCATCCAAATGTGCGCTCATTTAATTATGCACGAGTTTTAATAAAAGTGAATAATAGTTGTTAATTTTTTCTTTTATAGTACAAAAGTGGAATGATTTTTTACTTAAAAGAATATTTTTCAATGACAATCGAAAAAGGAAAGTGAACATAAATTTGAATGAACGAAGGAAGTAGTACATATTAATATATTATATATATTAATAGCAAATTATATAATTGTAGTAGCAAAATGTAATTTTAATTTCAGTACATAACACCATAATATATAATTCACACAACAAATATTAATACAATATACAATATAACATATTATACAATTATATCTAACAATATAGGGTGATTTCAGTATGAAATACTTCTTTCTGTCGTTCACTCTTTCTATTTTCGTTAGTTCCACATAATTTGTCATTTTTTTAAAAAAAAATTATAATCTATAAAAAAGAATGTATTTTAATTAAACTATTTAGTCATTTTAATCTGTACCTAAAATGGGACATCCTATGCTAACTGAGACAAATTAGTTAGGACATAAATAATATAACTCACACAACACATATTAATATATAATAATATATGTTATTTGCCTTATAATAATTTGTTAATTATTTCGAATGAATGTATTAACTCAGAAATATATTATATGTACGGTGATAATTTACTAATTATTTCAAATTAATTTGCTAACTTATTCAAATCTAACTTGAACCTAACTTGATCAAATATAATTTTGGGTGTGTTCGTTTGTTATTTAAATAAATTTTTGTATTATTCATGTGGTACAGTTCTAAAAATATAAGTTACTTTTTCTCACAATACATAACATCAACCTGGTAGTGTAGGAGTTGGACTTGTGACCGTGAGGTCATGGGTTTAAACCCCTGCGCCTCAGGTCACCTGCCATACATGATTCGCCTAGTATAATTTTCCCGGAGGTTTACGGGTCCCCACTTCAAATAAAAAAACTAACAACACATTCTCGGGTGTGTTCTTTCAACCAAAAACACATATATTTTTTAAAAAATATTAATATATTACACATATCTATTATTTTTATATTCTCTGCATATTTCTCTATATTTCAAATAAAAAATATATCTTCAAATTATTTCACAAAATAAACATACCCCTAATATTTTATATACATATATTATCTATTATATTTTCATGTTATCTATAGTATTTCAATATGCTGACTACGACAATGAAGAGGATTTCTTGGCATGGCTCCACCGGAGACTGACAGTATCAGCGGTTCCGGTTACTTCTTCGGTGGACACTCGATTTTCAGTTCCTTCTCCGGCAGATATCGATTTTCGATGATAGAAAAACTCTTTTTCAACTGACTCGAATTCCGGCGACTAGAAGAAATCCTCTAATGCACACTCCTCTCCTCCAATTGATTTCCGGCCGCCGGTTGGTATGAAAGCGCCAAACAAATGAGAGTTGCTGATTTTTCTCAAGAAACGAAGGTGAGAATAGATTAAACAAATTGCGACCCAGAAGCTGTCGAGGTGGCTTCTACCGCACGAAGCCAATGCGATGGTGAATAAAAAATGATGCCTCTACTTTCGTCTCATTGCGTGGTGAGTTTTTCGAGTCTGACAACAAAATCGTTCGAGATGAAAAAAGAGGCTATCGAAACACAAGTCATTGTAACTCACACAAAACTCCACATAAATAAAGCCCAAAGCATTCTTAAACTTGAAGACTATACTTTAAATTATATAATATCGGAAATTGGACCGATGCTAAGCTAACTCCCCCGTATATAGATGATCTGACATTAGGGCATTTAATATTTAATAAAAATTAAATAGATTGAATAGACTATTCGTGTCAACAATGTACACATTTCTTTTTCGAAAGATCACTTAAAAGAAATTATAAAGTTAAACATGTTTATTCTACTTTGAGAATTGGTGCAAGCACGTAAGAAATACTCATGTTTACCTGTGGAACTAATTTAATCCCGACACACCTATCAATGTGGTTTGCAGGCCGGAGTGTTACAAGTTATCTCAACTCAATCATTAATTGACACCAAACTCCACAAACACATATTAGTAAGTAGTAGTACATATGTTTAATGCATATCTATTTTTATCCATATTGATGCAAATTTTCCATTGTTCCATAATCCCTATTGATTGCTCATAAAACTAAGCACACAACTATTTGAATCGAATGAAAAAAAAAAAACAACACAAGCTCAAGCTAGAAGCATCAATCAATTATTGATCATAACAAACAAAAAACACAATCAAAAAAAAAAAAAAAAGAAAAAAAGAAAAAAAAGGTAAAACACCACACATACATAGCCAACATTTTTCTCTCTAATTATTGATCCAAACTACACAGTATACTTATCATCATCATTATCATCATCTTCTTCATAATAATATCATCCTCTACCATTCCATTCCTATCAACTCTACCAGTAGCCTAAAGGAGAGAGAGCGAAAGACACAGAGAGCTACGGCCCCAGCCCGGCCCATCAATCAATCCCGACAAAATGAAATTAAAGAAAACGTACGTACCAATTCTCGTCGCGCTTCGTCCAGCAATCCCTCGTTCTCCGGCAATGATACAACAATGTGGGGCTGGCAAGGGACCGTTTAAATTTCTCAGAGGCCCCAAAAGAATGGCGTTTGATGATTCGGCTCGCGATTGTTCATATAACAGAGCTTGTTAGCGACAACTCGTGAATCTCGCTCAACATCCACTCTTCCCCGGTTTGGCCCCCAAGGACTATAGCTCGCGTCCCTCCGACCACACAAGTGCTGTGCCCCCACGCAAACCTAGGGGGCCGTCCGGGAACATTTAGAATTCTCCAAGTCGGTTTCTCTTCCGTCGGATCGAGTATGTAGAGTTGGGAGGCGGAATGTAGGCCAGCGACGGACCCGCCGAAAACGAGGATTCTCCCTCCGGGCAGGCTCACCGCCACATGGTCGAGTCGGGGCGGCGGAGCGACGCCGCCGGGATTTCCTGCGCCGGGCATCCCACTCCCCGTGACGCATCTCCAGCACGGTTCGTCCTCGCTTAAATCCATGGTGAATACGTCGCTGGATCGAAATCGGAGAGGCCCGCTCTTGGCAAGGCCCCCAAACATCAGGATTTTCCGGCCACCGTAGACGGAAAGCGTGTGGCCTAGACGGGAAGGCGGGGTCCACGCGACAGGTATTTCCCGCCAGATCGGCTTCTCCATCGATAGATCGAGCAAGAACGTGTCGCTTAAAAGCACTCCGGAGTCCGCGCATCCGCCGGAGACTATCAGCTTCGTCCCGTCGAGGGTGCACGAGCTGTGCCAAGATCGAGGAAGCGGAGGAGCCAAGCTCGAGATTTCTCGCCAGTTCGGCTGTTTCGCATCCAAGTCCAAGACAAAGACGTCGTTGAGTAAGCCCTGTCGGCCGCAGCCGCCGAACAGGACAAGGTGGGACCCGTTGACGCAAGAAAGCGTGTGCCCCCACCGTCCGGGAGGCGGAGAGGTCACCTTGACATGTTGCCACTCGGGATTAGTCGAGTTCAGGTCCAACACAAAGGTGTCGTTCATCGGCTGCATGTTGACGCCTTCCCCGCCGAAAAGGACGACTCGGTTGCCCACAGCGCACACGCTGAAGTTGCAACGAGATGGTTCGACTGCGCCTCTGACTATCACCTTTCTCCATGCTGCCGCTTCGAGGGTCGTCAGCTCCCTCGCCAATCTACCCCATCCAAGTCGTTTAGCACCCGGCACAGTCTCCAACACTCGAGTCGTTTCGCTTCCCCAAGCATTTTGGCAGACCATCCGCCAAAGATCGTCGTTCTTTGTTAGTTCATAGAAGTGGTGGCAAACAGAGCCGACTGATGCAATATCCCGAGGGGTCAGTCGAGAAAGAATCTTGAGAGCAATTACTTCGTCACTAAGCTGCATGATTCCGCAGAGCCCGCTGCGGCTGACATTTCGGGTACCATCCGAGGTTATGCCAGGAGATACATTAAATCTAAACCTATCAGCTGCTCGGGTGGAAACCTTAGTTGAAGATCCTGGAAGGGGCCCCAGATCAAGAGTTGCTTCCGTAAAAACTTGTATACCGATAACATGGGTAATAGTTTCGTCATCGCCATATATCGGTGTCATGCGTAGCTTATTCATTAGCGGAGATCCATCTTTCCGGAAATTTAGCAACTCCCCTTGAAACTCAATCCCTTCATCAAGACATTTTCTTATTTCAGCAACTATTGTGGGGCTCACTAATGGATGTCTTCGCTTGGCAAATGGACCTCGGCATTGCAGGAACCGGCTGCAGCATTTGGAAAACAAAAATAGAACTAAGTCGGGTAAAAGTATATGTAAGTCAAGTCGGTAACAGAATAATGAGGCGGCACGGAAGGAAAATTCAAACTCGTTAATTATCATTGAATCAATATGGTTATAGCTTAAGAAAGCAAAACATTATGTCTAAAAACAATATCAGGGCACAACCTAGAAACATATGATTTTGTCGCCAATAACTAGAAATTGAGAACCAAAACATTCATTCAATCTCAAATAGACAGCAATCAGATCCTAAATTTAAGAAAGACCTGACAAATTCATCGTAAATAGAGAACTGCCACCAAAGTTGTAAAAACCACCAGCCGTGTTTCTATACAAAAACTTCCAATGGAAGCTATGGAATATCCTCCCCCCCCCCCCCCTTCTCTCTTTTTGTTTGTCATGTAATCTAGCATGTTGTAAGGACTAGCATGTTGATTACGAACATTTAAATAGGTACCCAAAGAATTACAGGGAAAATACCAGAGTATGAAACCAATAGTAACAAAGCAATCTAAAGCTAAAAAGTCCATCGATATCTGACACTCTTCAAAGAGGAAATATAAAAGCTCCAGATTGATTTCAAAAGCTATAAAGTTCTTGTCTCGAAGAAATTGATTTTCTTCTAGCTCCAACATGTGGTAGCACTGACAAATAATCCTCAATCCCCAAAGAAAACAAATTAAATGGATAATGCATACTAGATTTTGATTTAATGAAATCAATACACCTATACACTAAAGCAGCATGCTACAAATAGTTGAACGCAACAAAAAAAGCCTTAGAATGAAAAACCACCTAATATGTGAACTTACATAGACTAAAACAATTTGTCATGCCTTTTCATGACCAATGAATTATATTAGTAAAACTCAATAAAATGATTAAAGCTTACAAATTTATAACAATAGCACCATTAATGTTGTCTAGCATAAAATGAGAGACTTTTTTTTAGTAATATTGTGGCAGAAAAACTCGTAGCATTGAACAAGAAGGTGCTACAATATAATCACTGCTCTTTTAAGAAAGCTTCTATATCGATTGAATATTGTCAGTGCCCAATTGGAAGCAGTTCCCTTACTGAAAATAAAGTTGCTAATGAGACAAAATGGTATTGCTAGGAAATTTTTATCGGGAACAAATTTAGTTGTGCATCAAATCAAGATAGATTGATCCTTGAAGAAAGTTAAATTAGGCTGAAAAGATAAAAAGGATCAATCACAATCAGTTCAGATAAATCTGCTACGGAGTCTCACAACTTCAACCAACCATTAGAAACCACAAACTAAAAGTTCTTAACTTACGATGCATGATATAACGAGCTCTTCCAAGCAACGTGAAAATACACTGATATGAATGGACCAATCCACCATTGTCTTACAAATGGAAACTACTTCATAGACAATGAGCATGTTTACTTTGGGTGATTAAATAATATTCACGATCACCCTTATTGAACATGCCCAATATGAATTAAACAAGAGTGCCAACAATAAATTATTATGAAAAGGGCAATATATAGCAACTTATGAAAGAATCTATAAGAGGGCATAACAGAACAACTCCCAAGCTAAGATCAACATTCTGCACAGAAATTAAAGAGAATGGCAGCATGATCATGTACTCGAAACAAGAAACGACTCATTGGAACAACTCATATGAATGAGCTAAACTGGGGATTTTTAAGTTTCACACAATTGAATTTGTGACAACTAAAACATTAGCTGTTAAAAACGATCTTATTGTGTGCAATTTTCTTGGGAGCCCTAATAACTAAACTATGATCCTAATGGTATAAATATTCAATATTAGGATCAAGAAAGCCAACTAAAACTGAAAGCTGATTACATTTCCTTATATCTTGGAAGCCCTAATAGCCTAACTATGATCCTAATAGTTTAAACATTGAAGATAGGATCAAGAAAGTCGACTTAAAACTGAAAGCTGGTTACATTTCCTTATCTCTTGGAAGCCCTGATAGCCTAACTATGATCCTAATGGTTTAAACATTCAATATAGGATCAAGAAAGCCGACTTAAAACTGAAAGCTGATAATACCTTGGAAGCCCTAATAACCCAACTATGATCCTAATGGTTTAAACATTCAATATTAGGATCAATGAATGCCGACTTAAAACTGAAAAGTGATTACATTTCCTTGTATCTAGGAAGCCCTAATAACCTAACTACGATCCTAATGGTTTAAACATTCACTATTAGGATCAAGAAAGCCGACTTAAAACTTGAAGGTGATAATATCTTGGAAGCCCTAATAACCCAACTATGATCCTAATGGTTTAAACATTCAATATTAAGATCAAAGAATGCCGACTTAAAACTGGAAAGTGATTACATTTCCTTGTATCTAGGAAGCCCTAATAACCTAACTATGATCCTAATGGTTTAAACATTCAATATTAGGATCAAGAAAGCTGACTTAAAACTGAAAGCTGATTACATTTCCTTATATCTTGGTAGCCCTAATAACCCAACTATGATATGATCCTAATGGGTTATACATTCATTCAATATTAGGATCAAAGAATGGCGATTTAAAAATAAAAAATGATTACATCTTTGCATCTGGGAAGCCCGAATTACCTAAATATGATCCTAGTGGTTTAAACATTCAATATTAGGATCAACAAATACCGACTTGAAACTGAAAGCTGACTAAATTTCCTTACACCTTCAAAAGACAGTTTGCAATGATTAATGTTAGCTTTTACATTGTTTCTTGGGAAGAAATAAATTAAGCAATCAAATCCATCCAAAATATTTAGCAAATTCACATCTATAATATGTTATAAAAACAACAAATTGGTGCTTCCAAAACTCGTAAACATTCTCTACCCAATAAATCCAAGGGATTGTGAGTGAAGGGCAAGCACCAGCGATGGAGAACCATATGAAATCGAACAATTTAAGAGATCATAGACAAACCAACAAGAACAAAACTATAAGCACAAATCCATTCTTATCCCGCAGAAAAACTCAGAAGCCAAACTGAAAAAAATAAAATAAAATTGAAGAGACAAAATCAAACAAATACTAACCAATTACGCCCGAGAACTTCCTCCGCTCGATAACCAGTGACCATCTCGAACACGGAATTGACGTAAATGATGGGATTATCAGGCTCCAGAGCATCCGTCACAACAAATCCACACGGCGCCGGCTGCAGAAGCGCCTCGACGGGGAACGGCAGCTGTCCTCCGCCGCTCTTCCTCAGCAGAAACCCTAACCCTAACCCTTCCTCTTCTTCCTCCTCCTCCTCCTCCTCGCCGCCGCTCATATCAGACTCCGAATTACTATCCCACTCCATCAAACCCTAACTTCGATCGGCAGACACGGCTCCGGCTCAACCCATAGCGAAAATCCAGCAATCAGCAGCAGCAGCAGCAAGAATCGGTAGAAATTGGGGGTAAATTAATGTGTGGAGGAAAATATGTCTAGTTAGGGATTGGTAAGGGCAGGGGTGCAGCAAGAACCGCCATAGAAGGACAAATTGGGCATCAGCGAAAATATCTGGGAAAGAAGCAAATGCCACTTTTGGTGGTTAGGCAAAAGAAATTATATATATATTATATATACATATACTGTATGTATAGGCGGTGTAGAGTGTTGCGTGTAACTGTGTAAGGTAGTCAGCCTGGCTCTGGATATTGTTATTGACTTTCAACAAAATATCCTAAACCTAAATAGTACAATGGCTCTCTCTATTTACAATTACAACCCCCAAAAATTACTTAATTCGAAATCAACCTGTTTATTTAGACGAATCAAAGATCCGATGCCAATTCGACATGTTCAAATTCAACAAATTCGAAATTAGAATGTTTATCTATTTTTTTTTTTTTTAAAAAAAATTAAATAGATTAAAAAATTCAACACAAACAAACTCGACTTGAGTAATCCGAAATCAAAATATTCACATATATAAAAAATTTCTAAAATTTATAATTTTTACAATTTCTTTTATACCGTGGTTAGGTAAAAGTAGTAAAATGACATTTTTGCCCTTATTTTTTTTGGTATAAAAGTAATGATGTGATGTAAAGTAGGGGTATTTGTGAAAAAAATGAAGTATTTAATGAAATGGTTACTTTGTAATTGGACGTCCCAAAATAAAAATATGTATACTTTCTAACTGACGGGGAGGGAGTATTTATTTTGATTTAAGAAAAAGACAAACATGAAGATGAAGGAGTTTAGGTTTACCATTTCTTTTCAGATTTGTTTCATTATTTTTATATAAAAATTTTCTTTTTTTATCTTACTATTTTGGGGAAGATATATAATCACAGTATTTATTTTTATACTTTGTTTAGTGTATAAATAATTTAATATTGTATAATATTTATTTATATTTTGCAAAATCTTATTTATTTTACAGTTATTTTTTTTTGTTAAACTTAATAATATTTATAATTGATAATTTATAGATTATTTCAATCTCATTTCTATTCTTATATTAGCTTTTTCTTATAAATTTTTTATCTTTATCGTTTTCAAAAATATTGAATTCGATAAGTATTAAAATATATTCCCTCCGTCCCGACAAATATGCAACATTTTGTTTGGGTATGAGAATTTATGTAGTATAAATTAATTATTTAAATAGTGATTATTATTATTTAATGATTAAAAAAAATAAATTATGTCTTTGAATATTTTAAAAATTATATATTTCAATAAAATATATATACCATATGAATATTAGTTTTTAGAAAAAAAAAAAAAAAAATTTATTAATACTAATAAAAAATTATTTACTTTATTTATCATTACTATAAATTAGTTTTGTAAAAAAAATAGAAATTTTTAAAGGTAAATAAAATATTTGTTACTTGAGAAGACATATAAAAATAAAGAGTTTTGAGTGGTCATACGTGTAAAATATTACAAATTATTGAATTATTAAATTTACAATAAGAAATTAAATGACTATCTACTCATTTAAAAAAAAAAATTAAAATTGAAAGTTAGTTTTTAAAACAAATTCTCCATTTTACTGTAGTAGTTATTCTAATTTGTATAAATAATTTAATTATGTCATATATTTTTTTATATAATAACTATATTAAAAATTGTTACATAATTATTGTATAATATATACTAACTTTATAATTAATTTTTCAACTTATTTAATGTTTTTATTTTTATATGAATGTTAATTTTTTTTATATTATTGGACGAATTGATCATATTGATGTTTAAAATATCTAAAGTGAAACTAATTTTACAAAGATTGTATGTTTATATAACTATAAATACATCATAATTTTTTATTTATATTTTATGTCCAATCTTTAATATAGATATGATGCTAATTAGACAATAAAAGACGATACAATTAGTTTATACGTATAAATATACATATATATTATTTCAAAATTTTAAAATTGTCACACAAAAATTTCAATTTATCTTTCTATTTCAAAAATTTACAAATTCAAGCATATTTTATACGTATAAATATACATATATATTATTTCATTGTTAATTATTTTGGTATACTAATATCTTTTTTAAATATATAACAGGAAATGATATATAATTAGTACGAGAATTTATTAACACTTTTATAAATTGTTTATATATATAGTACTAATTATATCTTCGTCGACACAATAAAAAAAAAATAGTCACATAGTAAATTTAGTATTAATTGTTGATTACTTTTAAGAATATTTGTATGCTTCTACAAAATATTTTCCCTATAATTAATTACTCCGTCGTCCCAATACAATACTCTTATTTACTATTTTTGTCCGTAAAAAAACTATAGTTTTATTTCTATAAATAATCATATAATTATAAAACTACATTTATTTTTTTCATTATTATTACACAATTGCCACTATTTTTTATACGGACAAAAAAGTCATTTATCCTTACTTTTCACCAACTACACATATAATATCAATATTTCTTAAATCCAGTGTCCAACGGATGGAGCATTTGTTTAATATTATTTCAACAATTTATACAAATTGTACATCGCACGGATTTACACATTAGTAAACAATAATTTTAAAACATACGGGAATTCATAAGTCACTGTGACCATGGACGGACCTAAATGGGGCCTAGGGAAAGCCGAACCCCGGCCCCCAAAATATATGTACTTTTAGTATAAAAAATAATAAATTTGTGTATTTTTTATTAATTTATCCCCATAATTTTTTATTTTATAGTATAAAAAAATAATAAAAATTTTGCTTATTGGTTAATTTACACTTTTAGTTTTGGAATTTTTTATATTAAAAAAATATTAAATTTTATGTAGTTTTTTTGAAATTTTTTCTAAACTATTTCATTTTTACTAATTTTTTCCTTTTTTAAACCCGGTTGTACTTAGAAAAATCGAAAAAAAAATAAAATTAATTGATAAAAAAAAAAAATTGATATTTTGCTCAGGAATCCTACGGTTAATTCTGTCACTATCGGTGACAGTGTAGGTATTATCATGTTCAAATCAACACTGTGCTATATGATCCAATCGGCACACATACCCAACACATACAACATATCTTCTATATAGCATAATACTTTAATCTCTTATATAGAAGTATGCATTTTACAATTTATATATTGTGTTATATTATATATATATATTACGCTGAAAATCAATAATATTCTTTCTGTCTCAATTCAGAGTACTATTTTACTATTTTTGTTTATCTAACTTAAAAGTATTTTTTAAAAAATAAAAATAAAATAAAAGTAATCATACAAATAGATCATTACAATACAATTATTTTATGTATAAAGTTAAAGGGTCAAAATATCAAAAATTCTCACACTTCCACTAATCAATAAAATACTATCATTTTTTAATCTACGCTGAAAGACCCTTTTGAAATTTGACGGAGGAAGTATAATGTATTGTCAGAATATATATTAAGGGGGTGTTTGACAAATTAGCTTATTGAATAGTTTTTAGTTGTTTGACCAGTTTGATAAATTAGCTTTTTGGAATAGCTTTTTGGACCAAAAAGCTCATTTCCAACATTTTGAAATAACTGACCCAAATAGATGATTTAATACAAAGCATCTATTTTTATTTTAAGAATACATTTTTTCATATCTAATATAAAAATATTTTAAACTCAAAGGGTTTATATAAAATATAATATTATATCTATTAAAAATAGATGATTTAATACAAAACATCTATTTTTATTTTAAGAATACATTTTTTTCATATCTAATATAAAAATATTTTAAACTCAAAGGGTGTGTTTACTTGTATGTTTTAACTTTTTATTTTATTATTTTAAAAAAAAATTCATTTAAAAATATCAAATTCAACATTCATTTTTTATTTATTTTATTACACTAAATTTCATTTTTAATTATCATATCAAAATATAGTTATATCACATCAAATAATTATTTCAATTCAAATTTAAATTGAGTCAATCTAATTTTAAAAACACACTTTCATGTTAACTTTGAATTTGTTCATTTTTAATTTTTGGATGAATGTCTTTCTATGTTAGATGTGAGGAATTAATTTGATAACATAAAAAATAATATCTTATATTGAATTATTGATTTTTTTGTATATATATATTATATATTGTGTTAATATATGCATATTTTATTTTTTAAATTTTTTCTTATGGAAGATCGTCTTAGAACAAACTCTTTAATTATTTTATTTTATGATCTTATTATAATTTGTCAGGTTTTACACCTGATTTTACTATTACAATTTTTTTTCAGAAATTATAAATATATATATCAAATAATTTTAACCAAAAAGTGAAAAAAATAATAAATATAACCTACAATATGATTATATTGAAAACATGGTCGTGAACATGGCCTAGAACATGGCTGTGTTGAGAACATGGGCAGGAACATGGCTGTGTTCAGAACACGGACAGGAACACGGCCGTGTTCAAAAGTGCAGGGTAATCAACACGGCCGTGTTGAGACCAACACGGCCGTGTTGGCTGCTTGGAACGCCCAGTCACCTTCTGAGTCATCTAATACGGCTGTGTGTTCAGTCTCTGTCAACCATTTTGGGACTAAAATTGATAAATTTTCATTTGAGTGAGACTAAAATTGATAATTTTTTTTTAATGGGACCAAAATTGATAATTTTGATATTGAATAGTACAAAAATGATTTTTACTCAAAGTAAAATATAAAAATGTGGCTATTATCTACCCCATAAGCTAGGCTCACCCCAATATGTAATACTATGCTAGCATAGTTTGTAAATTATTGTATTTAACAGAAAATTTACTCAATGGACACAAGTCTAAAAATAATGGTTGCATATTCTAACAAAATTAGAGTGTGTTTCGATTATTGAGGTGAAAATTGAGTTAAAAGTGATTATTTAATTAAAATTTGATTTATAAATATAATGTATATAATATTAAAAATTGAAAAAATATGTTTAATTATTTTAATAATTATATTTTAATAAAATATATACGATAATATGAATATTATTTTGTTAAAAATAAAATTTGTTATAATATAAATAAATAAAAAAATATAAATATTTATTTATGATTAAAATATAAATAATTGTTTATCAATTCTATATTTATTTATTTTATTATTTTTAAATTTTAAAATATAAATAATTATTTAACATGGTATTTTAAATATAAAGATTAACTTAAATAATTGAACATAATGATTTTGTTTGCCCAATATATTTTCCAATGTCATAAAAAAAATTTATATATACATTTAATACAAATATATTAAAATATATATACTTTATTCATTGGAAAAAAAAAAAAACATAATACTTTCCCCGTTCCAATTCAACGTACAATTTTCACTGTTTTCATATATTCTAGTCCAAAGTATCATTTTCTTATTTTTAGTAAAAATAATCATACATCAATACTAAAATACCTTTTAACTTTTACCTAAATTACAAACATATCATCACATGTATAATTATTTTTTACATAAAGAATGACAAAATGTCAAAACCTCTTACACATTTTCAATAACTAATAAAATATTATTAATTTTTAATCTACAGCAAAACCCCAAATGGCCCTTTTGAACTGGGACAAAGGGAGTATAAATTGTTATTTTTTATATTACTGATGCTTACTAATATAAAAAATATATTTATTCAAAAATACAAAGTAAACAAACTCATACTCCATTCATTCCAAACACTGTGCAATATTAGTGTTTAAAATGATAATTTAGACGGAGAATATTAAGTACGATAATTTGACATAATTTAAATATTAAGTGATGTGATTGAATAAAATGAAGTGTATATTAATATATATATATAAATATTATTAATTATTTTTAAATTTAAAAATATTACAGTGAATTTAACATAAATAAAAAAAAAAATGTTGCAGAGGAAGGGTATATTGTAAAATTATAAATAAAATAATTCTATTAAAAAAAACAAGGACACAGTGTTACAGCTCAAATTATTATTATTATTATTATTATTATTATTATTATTGTATGATTTTAAAGCCGTCCCATAAGTCGCTATTCGGCGTCGCTTGCCAATAAAATCGCATTCACCAAAACAGCGACAACTTTGAATTGTTCGACACGCTTTCCGCGTTTCGACGATTATATCCATGCGCCAATCCATCGTTCCATACAAAAACCACCAACAAGAGCCTTCATTGATTGTACATAGTACAACCATTGCTGTGGGGTAAGGTCGGCGATCTTCGGAACCATATATGCCTCGATTGAGGCTCCAAGGTATGCTATTTTACTGAATCGAGTTCGATTTTTGTCAGAGATTCGGAAATCTGATTCGATTCGATTATTGCTGGTGTTTTGGATTCCGATATCGGCGAATTAAGCGAGTTCGCCGTCAGGTTCGCTTGAAATGCAGGGCGGAGAGGAGAAGCATCGTTCGCCGGCGCTGTTCGTCATCCTCGGCGGAGTGGTTTTGCTTCTTCTTATCCTGCTGCTGGTTTTGTTTTTGTTTCGGAGATTTGTTAAGCCGGAGAATCTGCGGCGGCTCTTCGATCGGAGAACGAAGAAACCTGCAGGTTTTGGAATTTGATTTGGTTGTTCGCTAGGGTTTGGGAATTTTAATTGTTGATCAATTGAGTATTAGAATTTGTATTGGCTGGTGGTTGCAGTAACGAAAGATGTGCTGAGTGGAAATCTTCGAACGATTAGCTACTTCGATTTCGAGACATTGAAGAAGGCGACGAAGAACTTCAACCAGAATCATCTTCTGGGGAGAGGTGGATTTGGACCTGTTTTCATGGTAACTCTACTGTTCATCCACTATGCTTCATGCTTTCATAATCAATATTGAGTGTTTGTATGTATTATATATATAATTGAAAAGTTTAAATTTTCTCAAAAATATCTAGTTTCATATTTATTTTTTATATAAAATATTACCATTATATCTATATATATATATTTCTAATCATTCAGTTTGTTTAGTAATTTTATTTTTCATATAACTTTAAAAGATAAACTTTTTTTTTTTTTTATATAACGTTGAGAACTTGCCGCCGCTATCTGAAAGTGCATCCAACCTAAAAAGGCAAAATTATTTTAGAGTTTAGTTCAATTTTTTTTGTTATACAATTATTTCAATTTTTTTTTTTTTTTATAAAAAGTCAAAATCATTCATAACTCTTACGTGATTTCGAAACTCAGCCTGAATTATCCATATACTCTGTAAAATGCATGACACTCCCTTATGCTTTCGAAAATGTTGCATAAAATCTCTTATACTTTTTCGAAAATGTTGCATTAAATCCTTTTTACATTTTCTGTGTGATGAAAAGATGATTTATCATCTACAGTTTTTGCATGGCGGGGTTCATGCAATATTTTTGAAAGTATAAGACGGCGCCATTCAATTTTTAAAATGCAAAAAAGAATTACGCTGAATTTCGAAACTACAAGAGAATTATTGACAATTTTTTTTTGTAAAAATGCACCATATTACTTCACAATTTCGCATTCAAATCAATAAAATAAACAAACAAACTACCAAAGAATAACTCACTATTCATTAATTTTTCTTCAAAAAGATAAAACCAAAAACTTATTTTTTAATTTTTAGTATTTTATTAAAAGTTATTTATACACTTAAAACATTATATGAATATCTATTTATCAAATTAAATAATTATTCAAATTCGACTATTATTATTTCCAACCGCAAATGCAACTGCCAAACCTACTAAGACATTTTAAGGAACTCGTAAGCTTATCGAAAAATTATCATACGCACTTTCTTACGCAATGTCGAATATTTTCTTACAGGGTAAGTTAGAAGATGGTCGGACAGTAGCCGTAAAGCAACTCTCAGTCGAAAAATCTCAACAAGGAGAACCGGAGTTCCTAGCGGAGGTGAGGATGATCACAAGTATACAACACAAGAACCTCGTTCGCCTTCTAGGTTGTTGCTTCGATGGATCCCATCGCCTGCTTGTCTACGAGTACATGAAGAACCGGAGTTTAGACCACATCGTCTACGGTACTAATTGTCCATGTTCTTACACATATGCAACTTTCTTTCATTCGATGGTTTCCTAATACGAAACAAATTCAAATCTTCGTAGGAAAAACAAATATATATTTGAACTGGACTTCTCGATTCCAGATAATACTCGGGATTGCTCGAGGATTGCAATATCTCCACGAAGACTCGCATGTACGAATTATTCATCGGGATATTAAAGCGAGCAATATTCTCCTTGATGAGAAATTCCATCCCCGAATCGGGGATTTTGGATTGGCTCGGTTTTTTCCGGAAGATCAAGCTTATCTTAGTACTAAATTTGCGGGAACCTTGTAAGTTTACCTTCCCTTCTTTATTTGAGTAGATACTTTAGAGGATGTTTCTTTTGATTTTTTCTTTCTAATTTTGTTATTTAGATCCTAAATTTTAAAAAAAAATATATCGTTATCTTATAAAATATCACATCAAATATTAATTAAAATATAAAATTCAAACCAAGTTTTCTCAATCTAAACATTGTTGAATCACTTGAATTGAAAATGTTTGTCATATATTATCTTATAGTATTTGACGCAATTTGTGAAAGTTAATTGTAGTATTTAGAAGTAAGCAAAATATTTGAAATCAGAATATTCAATCCGAATTAAACTAAATTTTAAGTTTTGGTTCGGCTTCTTTTGGAATTTTAATATTGGATTTGGGTAGAACTATTTTTAAATTTTTTATTTTCGTATAATGAAATTTCAAACAAATTTGGAATAAATTACAATATTTAATAGTATTTGTTTGTAAGTATTTTTAAATTTTAACAATCTTGCCACATATTTGTCTTTTTATTTATTGGACATTATTTATTCATTAAATAGTTTATTTAATTTTAAACAAAAATACATTTTTGGATTTTTTTTACATGTATTATACAATTTTAAAATTTTCGATTTGGTTCAAATTTTATAAATTTGGATTTTTCATCTAGATCAATTTATTATTATTATTATTATTATTATTATTGTTGTTGTTGATGATGCGGTGATATGTTGTTGTAGAGGATACACTGCACCTGAATATGCCATTAGAGGAGAGCTGTCGGAGAAAGCCGACATCTACAGTTTTGGTGTTCTTGTGCTCGAAATTATTAGCTGCCGCAAAAATACTGACCTCACTCTTCCATCAGAAATGCAGTACCTCCCCGAATATGTATGTTTTTTTGCCTTTTATTTTTCCAGAAAATTATGCATATATTTTTTTTTTTTGGAAGTTTTTATATTTGGTTTTTTACTTTTTTTTTTTAAAAAAATACCCTTTCAATATATATATATATAAATATTACAATCAAATACTAATTATTTATTTATTTTAAAAAAAGTCTTCGAAATTCCAAAATCTATGTCTATATGTAAATAAAGGCTCCATTTACATGACTTTGTTTATTTAGTGTTTTGATTTGAATAATTTCTGTCAGACATTAAAAATCGTATCATTAATATAAAAAATAATATTTTATATTGAATATTTATTTATTTTTTTAAGAATAATATATATTTATATATATTGAGAATTTTATAGAAAATAATATTGTAGGCAAATAAGGTTTTAAAAATGTTTAAAAATAGTTGGGTGATGAGATATTTTGAATGTAATATTAATTTTTAATATTACATAAAAATAAAAAATAAGTATTTGCTATTATATTTTTAGGGAAAAAAAATTATGAATAAAAAATATTTTTTCAAAACCCCAACCAAATACACTTGTTAGTTTGAGTATTTTTTATATTAGGTAAAAAAAAGTGTCAATGTATTAAATTATATTATTTATTGTATTTATGTAAATGAAACGATTAAAAAGACAAAAAAAATAAAAAAATCGTAATTTTTTTTAAATTACTAGTAATTTTTTTTTAAAAATATATCTAAAATATTTCGTTCAAGCAGGCATGGAAACTATACGAGAGGGGCATGTTGGCCAACCTCATAGATCCGAGGCTAAAACAAGATGGCATTATCGAAAACGATGTTCTACAAGTGATCCGTGTAGCGTTTTTGTGCTTACAACCTCAGGGCGATTTGAGGCCACCGATGTCGGAGTTGGTGGCAATGCTGACGTGTAAGGTCGAAGTGGATCGGATACCGGCAAGGCCGACTTTTTTGGACAGGAAGCCAAGGATAGGAGACAAGATTTCATGGGATTCAATGTCGGAACCTTTCCCTTCGCTAAAGAGTGATTCTATTTCTCCCTCATTTCTTAGGGTTCCTAAGTAAAAAAATTGTGTTTGTTTAGTGAAATTATTTGAAGAGATATTTTTTTATGTGAGATATAGAGAATTGTGTAAGTAATATAAAAATAATAAGTTGTAATATATTGATTTTTATTTTTATTTTTTATTTTTGTATATATATTAATTTTTTTTGTAATAGTATATAACTTGGGTGTGTTTATTTTGTAAAATTGTTGGAAATAATTTTTTTTTTTTTTTATGTAAGATATAGGACAATGTATGTAGTGTATTATTTTTTTTGGAAAAATATAAAAAAGAAAAAAGATAAAAAGAACAAAGCTCAAGTTCTTGTGATCTTTTGTAAACCTATGTTTTGTAGTTCTTCTTACACTCATACTTTAAGGTATTCTTATATATGTATAGCAAAATTGTATTTTATTTATTTTATGACGTGGGAATTCGTAGCCGAACTTAATATCCTGCAAACCAGGTCCGACGAGAAAGTCACACTAGGCGAACCATGTGTTTCCTGAGGCGTCGGGGGTTTGAACCAATGACTTCACGGTCACAATAAAAGTTTCATTCTTCTATTTGCCACTTTGTATAATTTGATGAATATGTATCGTTAGTTATGGATAATCATTTTGGTAATATAAAAAATAATATTTTAAATTATTAATTTAGATAAATAATACAATTACTAAAATTAATAAATACTTTATTTTGAGACATTAAAAAAAAATAGATATCTTTTCTTTCAGAATAGATGGATTATATATCTTATATTGTTCTGAACTGTGTAAGTTGAATATTAAAAAAGTTTTTGTTCCTTCAACAATTGCTCAGTAACACAATTTTTAATTAATATTATTTGTATAATGCAATATATATATTATATTTTAATCATTAAAAAAATTAATAATTCGATATCAAATATTATTTTTTATATTACGTATGTGATCCTCCATAGTTAATATAAAAAAAATACATCTATTTAAAACTACAAGTATGTTTCTTTTTTAGTTCAAATAAAAAACACTATTCCTTTCGTTCCACTTTTTTCGTCAATTATGTCTATTTCTGTCTGTTCCATATTTTTTGGTCCATTATGTCTATTTTCGTTTTTCCCACTTTTTTTGTCCTTTCAATTTTACGAAATATAATTATACACTTTAATCACATTTTAAATTTCATAATTTATAATTTTTTTAATCTTAATTATACTGTTTAGTTATCTGAATCTTAATCAATAGTTAGTTTTATTATACAATAATTATTTTTACTACTACACTTTTACCTAAATTCTCGTGTTTACGGTACATATAACATGGGATGGAGAGAGTACTATTTAACTAGTACAATTCTTAATAAAGATAAATTATTTTTTTTAAATAAAATATTAAAATTAAAAAACTATTTAAGTAAAGTTTAAAAATACTACCATATTTCAAATTAATTTCGAGCTGCAATCGAACAAAGTTTGAGCTTAAACCATATTTCAAATTAATTTCTAGCTGCACTCGAACAAACTTTGAACTTAAACCAAACGTATAGGTGTTTACGTGTTTTTAAAATTAATTCCTATATTATTTAACATAACTATTTATTTTTAAAATGTGAAATTTTTGAATAGAAAAAAATCAATACTAATTCCAATATAATCAAAATATATTAATTTTAGTCTCCATATAAATAATTTTATTAATTTTAGTCTCCGTATAAATAATTTTATCAAATTTGGCTTTACTATTAAAAAATCAAACAAAGTTGCTCATATGATCATAAAGGGATCGATGTGGCAGCCGATTTTGACTAAATACGGTTGTGTACAATAAAATATGACCACGGCGGTTTCCATACATATGTACCGCAATGGAATGTACATTTCTGCTTTGATCTATAATTTTATTTTTATTATTTAAATCAAAACTCTAAACAAATACATTCTTAGTTTAATTTCGATGTATTTGGTTGTGCGATCAAACCGAATCACTACTGTCCACACTGTTTTTAAGAAAACTATATTAACTATCTATCACAAAATATTATATTAAAATACTTTATCCGTTCATTTTGAAAATATACATTTACTTTTAGAGCAAAAATTTAAAAATAAAACTAATTTTTCAATTGTAGTGAATAATTAAAAATACTGTAAAAGTAATTTTATTTTTTTATTTTTTGTATAAAAGTAATTATATGACGGTAAAATCGAGACATTTGTAACAAAAAAATAGAATGCATAGTTACTAAAAAAAATAATTATTTTATAATTGAAAATTCGAAATAAAAATATTTATATTTTGTGAGTGAAATTATTCAAACAAAAAAATTTAATTAATAACTCATTTCATATCAATTTTGAATCACAATCAAACAATTTTAAAAATTCAAACATTCAAACAAACACACTCATATCTTTTGGTATTTTATAATCATAAAATTAAAAATATAATACTATCTCTGTCCGCCAAATTTATTTATTTTTCGTCCATCAAATTTAAAATATTACTATTTTAAAAAAATTTAAAAAGTCAAAATTTAATTATTATTTTTCATCGGTATTTATTTACAATAAATATCATTCACTTTATTATATTATCTTTTTATTCTATTTAATTTTTAACTTAATGCTCAAAAATATCTTCAACTATTTTCTTTTTTACTTTTTTTTTTATATTTTTTAATAAAATATTTATTTATTTTTAGTTTGCATTTCAAATCCAAATAGGCAAAATTTTTCGGAGTAAAAAAAATTGCACTTTGAGTTGGGCCTAAAAGTTATCAATTGGGCCCAGTTAATGTCCAGAATATAGCCAGTGCTTCAATTCTGCTGCAATGGCGGAGGAGCCGCGGTGGCAGCTGGACAAGAAAGAAGAAGATGGAGATCGGAGGAAGTCTAGCGAAGAAGAATATGAAGAAGCAGAATAGGAGCATGCGACGGAAGCAGAATCAGAAGCTTTTCGCTATACTGTTGGCGGCCTGTTGTTCCGAGTCCCGCGATCCAATACTCATTAAGAAATGCCTGAACGAACTGCTCCGGCGCCTTCCTCGTGCTCCTCTGTCTCCATTCCTTTCCCTGCTTCCGGAGCTTCTCAAATCCAAGTACTTCTATTATCAATTTATGCTGGTTGCGACTTTTCATTTTCTGGGTGGTTTGGGATTGTGCCTTTCGATCTATGAGTAGTTTCGTTTAGATTTGATAAAATTGTTGTGTAAATTATATTATTGCTAGAATTTAGTATGTTAATTCCCTGTGTTTGCTACAGTTATACTGAAATTCAGCGTGAGAGCTTGGAGATTATCGGTGCTGCAGCCATAGCATCGATTGAGATGAATGAGAAGGTTGCCATGGAGGATGAGATAGTCGAGGGGTTAATATCGAACTGTGGAAGTACTAAACCAGAGATTGCAATGGCTGCCTGCAATGCAATGTTGGATTTATCCACAGCATCGATTGGACGTCGACGCTTGGTCGAATTCTCTGCAATCAAGAGTCTTCTGTGAGCTTCCTCTTTGGATTTAATCAAATAGATGCCAAAATATGAATTTGATTATCAGTAGAACCTAAGTTTTTGATCATTTGCTTTACTCAGTTTAGGCTATAGAGCCAATTCATGGCAAAAGCTTAAGCATAGGCATCAAATTCATTATTTGAACTGACTTTATGGGTAAAATCTTTTCTTTATATGGCTTGATTCGTATGGTAATCATCGATAATTGCTTATGTGTGATGTTTTTTGCAGTTCCCACAACTTAGGGTGTGTTTAGGATGTTTTCATCTTTCTTCGATTTGAATTTTTTGGAGAGGAAAATCCTGGGGTAGTATAATGCTTTGTATCGATTTTATGCGTTGAAAATGATGTTTTTGGATGAAAAAGTAAGGCTGTGTTGTAGTTTTAAAATTGTGCAAAAATGGTATTGAATATGCATGCGAATGGTGCCAATTTATTGCATTATGTATCTGTGTTTTTTGATTCGTAGTAGTCGTCGCAAGTTCAATTATTGGGCAATAAGTCTTCGATATATTAGTGAAGAATTTCATTGCTTTACAATGAAAAGAAAAGAAAAGAAAATTCTGGAACAATGTTCTGCTTGGATGAAGATATTGCAGGCTAGTCTAAGGCATGTTCGTCTGAGAATCGACAAAACCTATAGGAAAACTAGAAGAAGCAAGTGGTTCAGCGAAATTCACTGACATAAAATTCTTTTGTCTATATTATGGTACTTTTCTAATCAATTTCTTGAAGAATTCCGTTTTCTCTGACTTATTTATGTCTTTTAGTCTTTGCTTTATACAGGAATCCGAAACTCCGGTTTCCACAGTTTCTCTTGCTGAAGAACTAAAATTGATCGAGGAAGATGAATATCGAATTCTGCTTCTCCGTTGTGCTATCACTCTCGTCAATTCCTGCTCAGTCGAAGAACTTCATCATATACCAACAAAACTTTCTGAAAAATTTACCGAACTTTTGAAACTTGTATGGAGAGCAGCACATAGACAACAGCTATGCAGCATTTCTTCCGGATGTGATCAGATACGTAAGCTCGGCATCTCAATAAGTAGTTTGGCTGAAAGTATATTCAGGTTATCTCTAAAATATGATCAAGATCCGAGATCAAAAGATTTTGAAAATGTTAAGAAAAGCATTTTTGATTCGGGAGAAGTTAGCATTGAACAATTTTTGTCAGAGATATGGGAGGTGTCTCCGATGCTTATAGCGAATATCTCCGAAGCTGCAATGAGGTCGATGTTCAGTCCTTTTGTTAAATATCTTGGCCGAAAGGAGGAAATACCTAAATTTATTACCTCGATGCTAAAAGACACTATTTCTTGCCCGGCAATGGCCTCGGACGATCTGGATATTATTCATGTCATCGACGAATTAAAGAAAGAGCTCGGTTGCCGTATAGTCTACAATCAGGATATACGCGTTGTGAAAACATCGTGCGGGGGAAGAGAGTCGCACTATTTTCAGAATCAATTTGACTCTAGCTGCACCTCGACTCCTCATGTTTTCGGTATCGATGATTTGAAAAAATGTGAAGAAGCATTCAATCAAGGTTACTCGATAGCGCTGCGCGGCGTGGAATTTCGATTTCAATCTATTGCAACTATCGCTAATGGATTAGCGTCTCTCTTTGGGCAGCCTTCAGCCGGCGTCAATATGTACTTGACACCGTCGAATTCGCAAGGCCTCGCTCGCCACAGCGACGATCACTGCGTTTTTGTATGTCAACTTATCGGTGAGAAAAAATGGACAATATTTCCTCGGTCCAATTCCCAGTTACCTCGTTTGTACGAGCCTTTTGAAAGCTTGCATGATTTGGGAGGGGAAAGTCCGGAGATTAATGGTTGTCGACATTTTCTTCTGAAAGAGGGCGATGTTTTGTACATCCCTAGAGGTTTCCCACATGAAGCAAGAACTGGTGCAGCGGATGATCAAAATATTGACGAAAATATTGGATTCTCCCTACATCTGACCCTATCTGTCGAAGTCGAGCCTCCATTTGAGTAAGCAATTTGTATTTATGCATTTTTGGTTTTGTATATAATGTCGATGATTATATTAAACACTTTAGACTTAGTTTATAACATAGCTCTGCTAGACTAGAAACTAGAAACTCGAAACTCGAAACCTTGCTTTGCAATGGAAAATTATGTGTGTACCCTAATATATCAGTCAGCCTTCGTATTTCACATTTTGGAGAACCCGAGCTGCATTGAAAATTGAGTTTAGTCGCATTAGTTGCTTTTTGCGTATGAAATATATTGATGATACTTAGTGTAGATTAGCTTGTGTACATTTTCATTTCTTGTAGGCAAAATTACACAAAACTCACATGTGGTTTCACGAAATTATGCCAAATTCTTCGTCAAGACTCCTTCATGGTTTCATAAACTCTATGTCTAATCCTTTGGGCCGTCCTTATTTAACAGTGTTAGACTTACACACACGCGCTCAAACTATAAAAGAACCTTCATTTCTAAATTTCTTCATGGTTTCATAAACTCTATGTCTAATCATTTCGGCCGTCCTTATTTAACAGTGTTAGACTTACATGCGCTCTAACTGTAAAAGAATCTTCATTTCTAAATTTCTTTTTATATTCAACTTTAAGGAACAATAAATATACTCAGAAATAGTTGTTTTTCTTTGGTTCTAAGAATTTGATTACTTAAGGCTAAATATTAGATAAATGAATATATCTCTAATTTTTGGGTTTAAAAATAGAGATTTTGAAATTTATTCGCAGTTTGGGCGTGTATAGGCAACCATCTTTAAATAAGGACGACCGAGGGAGTTAGATGCAAAGTTTATGAAACTGTAAGAGAGTTTATCGCAGTTTTTTAGTATGGGGGTTTGACGCAATTTCGTGAAACTACAGGTGTGTTTTGTGAAGCTATGCCTTTCTTGTATGAAACTGGTTTAATTGTGTATATTCGATCGTGTATATTTAGATACTCGTTTAGTCAACAATGCACAGAGGGGTTTCGATATTATTTCATTATTCTGATGTAAGTTTTGGTCGTTTACGCGACAGATGGGAAGGCTTCATGCAAGTAGCAATGCATTGTTGGGACAAAAAAGTGTTGTCATTGCTCCGCAAATCGAACGATTCTATGGAATGGAACCTACACGTACTCGCCGTAAGGCTCATGCACGTCGCAATAAAATTAATCGGCGACAGTGACCTGGCGTTCCGGAAGGCTTGCTTAGTTGGCGCTACGGCACTGCCTTCTTACAAAACTCATCTTTCTAACAATCAGAACGATGTTTTCAAGAATTTGGTCGATAGAATTGCGAACGAGGCCAGATTTTCGGATGCCCTCCGACATACGGAGTCGGCTGCTCGGAGAAATGAAGATCCTCTCGAGCATATAAAATGGATTGCGGAAATGAAGGGGCCGGAGAGTTCGAATATTTCATCTTTAGATTGCGATTATAATCCCGAGTTATCGTCGTCGACACAAATAAACAGTGAAGCTGCGTTTTTGCAGGTGCAAGGGAGGTTTTGTAATGAAATAAGGTTGGAAGAGGTGGAACAACAGTACAAGGCTCTGCTGGAGAAGTACAAGAAGGTTAGAAGGCAATACAACGACGGTATGCTTTCGCTTCATTCTGCAATTACTTCTTCCTAATGCAGCATTTAATATTTGAGCCGGCCCGGCGCTTTAATCCAAAGATATTCTTGAGTGTACATACGTAACTGCTGAGTGTATTCGTGTTTATATTTAAATATTAATTATTATTTCAAAATATATTATAAATTAAGGGTGTGTTTGTTTGGGAGATTGGATTGGATTTACACTATTCATCCAATTTTTTTTCTCCAAAAACATAAAATCAAACACCTATTTTTCATTTTTTATATTATACTAAAAATCAATTTTACATTAAAAACATCACATCAACACCTATTTATATCACATCGTACAACTATTCAAATTCAAATTTTTACTATTCAAATTTTCACTCAAAATCTAAACCCCCAAACAAACACAACCTAAGAAAAAATAATAAAAATATTTTTATTAGTTTTATAATACTAATAAAATGATATCAGTACAAATAAAATTATACATATTTTTAATATTGAGTACGCTAATAATAAATCGATATCCAACTGAGGGAAAGAATAAAGATTTTATTATTTTTAAAAGTATTTGAAATGGTAAAAGAATAAAGATTTTATTATTTTTAAAAGTATTTGAAATGGTAAAAGAATAAAGATTTTATTAATTTTAAAAGTAGCTTTATTTTTAAGATTTTTTTTTTTTATTTGTATTATAAAAAATTGTATCGGTAAATATTAATATTAAATTTTTGTGTGAGAGAGAGAGAGGCGCAGGCACCTTCCCCACAAGCTAAAACATCATATTCCTATTGTATTAACATTCATATTTTACAATTATTGACATAATTGTGATACAAATATATAAATTTTAGATAATAATTAATTAATAATATTTTCATATTATGGATCAATTTTTTTGTTTTTAAATAAAATGGATTTATTTAGTGTTATTAATTTTCTTTATAAAGTATTATTAAATTTTATTTTTTTTCAATTTCTCAACTACTCACTTCAGTACATTTTTCATTCATTTTGAGAGCAGATATGAGAGTATATAGTATTTACTTTTTTAAGTGAAATTTAAAAAATTGTAGTATTTTAATTGTATAAATTTTGGTGGTAAAATAAGAATATTTTTTTTTTAATAAAAAAAAAAATAGAATTTATATTACTTTAATACAATGGAAAATAAAATATATTTGACTTGGGACGTGGGTATATTCACACTATTCATCCCACAGTAAATAATGATATCCCTTGATAAACATACATAAAATGTAAATAAAATGCATACACAAGATAGATCAAAAGAGCACATACATACATACATGCAAACACAAAATCTGATTAACGAAATAATCAAAACACACATTTTATTGTCATTTCTGTACACACAACACAACAACACATAAAAAATTGCCTAAACAAAAACCAACTCTTCAAATGTTACACGCACACATATATATATATATATATATATGTATGTTTGTCCCTTCTCAATTCTCACTCACAATTTCTCAAAATCACACACCAAAAGGCAAAAACCACACAAAACCAAATCTCCCAAAAAAAAAAAAAAAAAAAATCCCATCAAAAAATTTCATACACTCCAAAAACCAAAACCGAAATCAGAATCGAAATCCAAACTAAAACAAACAAAGGAAAATGAAGAAAAGTCCATGCCCTTTCGACGGTTCTTCGCAAAAGAAAGCGTCGGAGAAGCAGCACCCGCAGCTTAAAATGCACCAATGGCGCAATGCTACTTAGCCGTAATCGAAACCCCGTCATCCTTCCCCATCTATCGCTCGCTCATCAACCAATTCTTCGATAAATATATATATATGTATATATGTATATATGTATCTTATGTGTGTGTTTTTAGCATACTTAGAATAGCTGAAGCGACATCTTGAGCTTGTTTTGTCTCCATTTCGGAAGCTTGTAGAACGTCGTCTTCGTCATCCCGAACTTCTCCTTGAACTCGGCCGAGGAGAGGTAAGTCTGTGCGGCAATTCGACGATAAATTTGTTAGAGAGATGTCGATGGAAGAAACGGGGAAATTCTCGGGGTCTACGGGCGTACCTCGCGCTTCGTCACGTCAATATCTTTGACAGGATCGGCTGACGTCGTTTTGAGCCGCTCGTACGGGTGTGTCGCAAGTCCTTCCTCGTCGTCGGCGACTTCGTTCTCCTTCACGTCTTCTTGTATGGTCTCCGGCTTCGGCTTAAGCTCTTCTACCGCCGAGTTTTGTCTCGACGGCGTCTCCGGCTTCGATTTCGGCGACTCTGTGCCTGCTTCGGAGAGACATTCGACAAACATCAGTCTGTTCACTCAGCATTTCTCAATTGAACAATTCCTCATAAATATTATTAAAAAGATACAAATATACAACATATTAATATAATATATATCATCCACTCATAAAAAATCAGCAATACAATACAAAAAATCATCCTCTAAGGTCACATTTACCTTGTTGTGTCATTGTTGAAAATATCTTTATATTTGTATAATTTTTTTTTTTTTTTTTTACAAATGTCCTTCTATTAGTATTACAGGACACTAATGAAAATATTTTTGCAATTTTTTTTTTATTTATACTATGTTTTGATATAATAATTAATATTCAAAGATCAACACTGAGACCTTAGAGCCGGACGGATATAGTATTTTTTATATTACCAACACAATTCCCTATACCACACAAAAAATCAATTCACCTAAAAACTGTATACCACACAAAAAATCAATGCACCTAAAAACGTTGAATGAACCGACTGAGTTTTTGTTTGTTTTGAAATCGAGAATCGACGCATAATCGCTCAATGAATTCTTCGAACGATTGATTTGATCGAAAACATTACCTTTGATGGAGCGCGGTATGAGTACCGGTCGAGCAGGTGCTGCAGACTGTTCGAAACCCGAGCTTATCGCAGCTATTGCGGAAGATCTTGAAGTCGCTTTTCCGGAATCCAGGGTTCCGGATTTCGGATAAACTTTTCTGACGACCGGAGGAGGAGTCGATAAGTTCCGCGAATTGGGATTCTCAAAGTTAGCTGCAAGAGCATTGAACGCCGGAGATCTGCCTCGCACACGGACTCGCTCGGGGCTAAAAGACATGCTTCTAGAACGTTGCGATTTTTCCGGCGCCGCCGACCTTCCGCTGTATGCGACAGGCGTTCGCCTCTTCGGTTTCTATAATGCCAAATATTGACGTAATATTACTAAACTCGACTCTCCGTTTATCGTATAGTAAAATCGACGCGCTAAAAGAGTGAAAAGAAACTTACAATCGATGCCGGAGTGCCTCCACCCTTAACGATAGACAACTTTCGTTGGAAAGAATTACCGTGCATCTGCAACCGTAAAAAAAATTACATATTATAGAAAACACCGAGTATATATCAAGAAGAGCAACGACCATAAAACGACAAAACTTACTGCAGATTTCGCCGAGTCCCACGAGAAAAATCGAGTGAAAAATGGCGGTTCGCTATCTTCCATTATCACATACAATGGCGTTTCTCGCGAAAGCTTTTCGTGTAGAAAATCGCGCTCAATAAATTTCTGTTTGGAAGGATTTGAAAAGAAATAAAACAAGATCATCGATGTTATTCGATGAAATTATATTGCGGAAAGTTTTAAATATAGTTCTCTACATGATATTCTTCGATAGGCAGGAAAAGTATCGAACATTAAAATTGGGAAAATTGAATAAAATCGTACCTCTCCAATGTTTAAAGCATTCATCTTATTCTTAGATTCGACCTGTTGCCCGACCCACACGAAGATATCCGAGTGCACGTCGAGAATGAATATATCTTCCGTCATTAGATCATCCTGGTCGAAATTATGCACTTCCACAACCTGCAGCCGAAGATAAAACGATAGTCGGGATCGCTGTTGTCATAATATATCGAAATAATGGATAAGTAACATACCTTAAGATCACCTGAAACCCGTTCAACACAATAACGATAGGAACAAGTTAGTCGAGTGTTGTACAATCGTAAAAAACGGGCAATACTGCAAGATTTTCATCGAAAACAAACATACCGTTCGATAAAGTGCAGGAGAAAAGATGCGGATCGCTTTCAGGCGCCCTCGTAATTTTCTGGCTCGGGTACTCCGATTTCCCGCCTAATAAATCCCAAAACTGGTCAGATTCCGCACCCTCCTTCTGCAGTTTTGACTGCAAGTTCGGCTGCAATTATAAAACATCGCTATGTAAGACAAACTGATGAACATGTCGTCAATAAACAGCATAAATCTCTCGGTAATAATTACGACATCGATTGGTGATTAACCTTTATAAGATCAAGCTGCCTCTCGACGAGCTCTTGGTCTTCCGCAGTCGTGAGATTTCCCGACCAGGTAAAGACAGATGATCCGCTGTGTAGTATGTAACAGTAGGAGGAATTCAGCGACGAAGCAACCTGAATCAGTTCAAAAAATCGGGAGGGGTCGGGTAGTGATTAACATTCAGCATCTTAAATACTTGAAACGAGCATATTGTATAACTATAATCAGCGCATACATAATTTGTTATTACGAAAACAACATAATTATGCATCTATAGAAAGCATATTTCCCTTATTTGGTAAGTGTGAATCTCGCGACATTAGTAAAATATTCTATCGTTTCATGTAAAAGTACCAAAATACACTTCCAATCTTACATACTTACACATTTTTATTATCTACCAGCGCTTCGATTTGAATGCTGATTGGGTCAAATCAGCACATACTAGACATACAACACACATATCTAATAGAGACTCGATATAATTCCATATAGCACATATCCTAACAGCACATTATATGATTTCATATTTCACATGGAACAACGTATTATTGATTTAAGCACAATAAATATATTTATACAGCACAATAGAAATATAAAAGTTCACATCACATGTTCTATATAAAACATGTTGTCTGCCTTGATTATATATGTTAATCACCACCGAAACCGCCAGTTATCTACCAGATATAAAATACTATCATTCCTTAATGGAAAAAATGATTATAAAAGAGCATATGAATAAATAATTCAGTAACATCTTTTATTCATTAACAGTAATTTTTTCAAAAACCATCACATCAAATAACTACTTTTTTCTGACAAAATATGATATGAAGTACTCAACATTTTATTATTCCTAAAATTTTCCAAAACGCTAAAAACTTCTATAAAAACCGAGCCTTGGATTTTTTAACCTTTTAACAATCTAGAAGTAGCATCGTTTCACCCTTAATAAAACAGCATATCTCATATATAAATTAAGCATCTTACGGGTTCGACTTGAATAGCTTGCATATTCTCGGGTCCGCTTCCTTGAATTCGAAATAGAGCAAGTCCATCCTCTGTATATGTATTGTCCGGGAGTCCTTTTTCAGCTATGTAACTTTTGTAGCCCTCGCTAAGACCACCCTGGTGTTGTACAAACAAAAATTTTGCATGCTCAAATACGGAAACAAAAGTTTTACCAAATGAGTGATGTTAGAGCATCTTTAGTACCTTAAAGACAATGAAGCTTTGGAAAATGGCGAAGAATTGGATTGGTTCGTTTCCCTCACAGACACGAGCCTAATAACGCATGGAAATAAAGTATGAATACATAGGTGTGTATAAGCAAAATCAAGTTATCGAAGAAAGTATCGTGTGCTTGCCTGAGTGGCTGTGAACTTCATCGACTCGACCATCTTGCTTGCCTGTGATGTTGCCGCTACCCTATCTTCCTATAAATCATAATAAAATATCGATGAATTCGATGGTCATTCTAACTGAACAACTATTCTACAGCTACTTCCTAACACTTTGATAATTAAAACAATAATCCTAGCATTCTTTTTTTTCTTGCATTGGAAGCATCGCGATTCCTATAAAAATATTTTTTACTCCTACAAAATATTACATCCAAACACTACACAAAGCTAGTTGTCTACAATAAAGATTATAACCCAAGAACATAGAAAAAGTAAGGACCTCAACACTTTGCTGCCCAAACCATGTCCCGATAAGATGTTCTTCCTTGTCTTCACCCGGAAAAGAATATTGGAAAATATAGCAATCTCCGCCGTGAAACTTGGATTGATCGGAAGTAGGAAGAAGAGACTTCTCGCGACCGTCTACACGCCACACCTGTTCATTCCAAGTCGAAGTAAAAAACAATCAGCCGAAAAATGGAGAAGTGCGACAAACCAATTACAAGATTAGTGTTTTGCAGCAGAATACATATTCCCATTCAATTGAATAATCCAACATTCGATGTTATATCCGAAGATACTTTTACATGACCTGCAAATCTCCTGTGCAATCTATATACGGTTGAGGTTCTTCCTTGGGCGATTCAGCTTTTAAAAGGCCCTTCACGTTGAATCCTTGGCGCTTTAAGAGTGCTGCAAAGAAACAAATTGAAAGAAACGATAAGAGGACACTACATCAACGAACGGCGTTAAAAATTAGTGTTTATGTAACACACATAATTACTTACAAGCAACTTTCCCTCTACTGTCCTCAGACACAGCTACGTTAGTCGACTGAGGCCAGGATTCAAACTTCGACTGAAATGTCACTGTCTCAAAGCCCTCGATCACTCTGATTACCTGAGCCGTGGACCTATCAAGTCCGCGTAGGAATTCCTATAAGAAAAAGGTAGAGTTAGTTTAATCGTAAGAACGGATTACAGAAACTCAGATGAAATAGTTATAGCAGCTCGACTTACATCAACAGCGCCACTTGCAGCTTTTCTTTCATCGAGAGAAGTACTTCTGCCCATCCAAACAAAGACTTCCCTTCCACAATCAAGGATATAGCACTTTTGTGTGTCTAATAAATCCCTCGTCAAAGAACCAGCCTCAACGGGCACCACTTCTCCCTTCTCAACACTTGAAATCGAATACAAATGTCAAATTCAAACCGCCAAAATGGTTTTCCCAACAAGTCGACTATCGTCATACACAAATAATAAATTGCTCAACATAATGGTACAAAATTCTCCCGTCCACCGAAACAACTTGCTTCTTCCGATTCTTTACATCAAACGGTTGTTAATAATCATACACGAAAACTAAATGCACAATGTACTTCCATGTTGTCAAGGCAAGCACATTACTCACACGTAGTCCCATGCCAATGAAAAAAAGTATCGAAATATGCAGTTGGTAGGCATCAGAATTCATATGCCAGCATAGTAGAGGTCAAGAATCATTGTAATCGAATGCATCAATTATAAATAAGTTATATTCAATTTAGATCCTTAGCACTCGATAGTCGAAATGTTAAGATTTCAGACAAAGATACACTTTTTGCATACCAGAAAAGCTTGGAAGAAGCAACAATGGTGCTCCGGGGTTCATCAACAGTCGATTTTCTTGGAAGTGGAGCAAAGCCACCAAAGAAACCCCAAAATTCTCCGGTCTCGGCATCAGCCATCAATTTTCCATCTTCTGCAGAAAAAAAAAAAAAAAAAAACAGGCTACATGACGCACTGGTCGCACATAGAAAAACATCCCAAAAACCGAATAATAGGAATAGTTACCAATAGCTGCTATTTCACATTTTCCGTCATGGTAAGTATCTTTAATGTACTGTACAACTTCCAAGGCTTTAGCCCTTTCTTGAATGGAGGAATTGGAGCCGTTGAATTGAAAAATCTTCGACTTTGTATCGAGAATAAAGATGTCATCATGATTGAGTGAAGATCGAGCAAATGGTACCTGCACAACCAAGAGAAAGATGTGTTGCAATGTGATGTGCACTTAGGAGAAGTATCGATTCATGTAAGTATGGGGGAAAAAACAAACCTCTTTCACGTTGACAACATGTTTTCCTTTACATACATACATACGAGTCGGGTGCTCTTCAGCCTCAACGTGCTTGAAGCCAGAGGCTACTCCGCCCGGTCGAGGTATTATACATGGCTTAAAATAAGAGAGAAACTTCTCTGTTTCATGGCCTTGGACTTCACGGAATTGAACAGCACGCCCTCCCAGCGCTGCATCTAATTCAACAGTTTTGATGGCTGCTGTGCCAGCTTCATCCTACATTCGACATTATTTGCAACATTAGGTTCATCACATTTTTTTTTTTCGTTTAATATATAAACATTCGATAGATTTACACCAGAAAATTTCTTATATGGTTCACCAAATTTCTATTGTCCTTCTATATATAAGCTTTCAACATCAGTTAAACTAATAGGAAGACGTACCGAGTTATATTTTGGTTTAGTTCTTCGTATACACTCTCCCACATTTAGGCATGATTTTTTTTTTTTTTTTTACTTTCATAAACTTTTGAATGTGAAATACTCTTCTACACAAATAGATCACCTGATGAATTCGAACATGGGCATCTTACTTCGACACCATGGTACTGGAAAAATACACTATTTCTTCTAACAAAACATTACATCAAACGACTACGTATACACAAAACACAAACACACCCTAAATTACTTAACATTTGCACGAAAAAAGTATATCACAAAAGGCATACCTGGCTCGTTTCTTTACCCAGCCAATAATGGATGTCATGATGCAGGACACCGCTTTTCAACGCAGTGGTCTGCAGAAAGGAAACAAGGCGTCACACTTGTATTAAACGCCTTCTAACCATATTCAAAAGTATAATAACATCACAGCATGATCCACAGCAAAAGCATAAAACCGTAACTATTTAGAACTCTTATTTTAAGTGCCAGCAAGGTACGAATCATGTGATACTTATTCCACTAAGATTAAGTGATTGCCTGTACAAAATGGGGGCTAGACGGTATATTCTTCTCTAACTTTGCGAAAACATAAAACATTGAAGATATGTCCCTGGGCCGATCATCCTATCATGAATATTTTCATTTTAAACCAAATCATTCTCCTTGGTTTAAAGTAGAATGTTATGACCAAAAACAAACTTTAACATTCGGAAACAGGATATGTGATTAGAACATAGAGCTTATAAACAGCCGAGTGAGCTTGAGTATGAGCTCAACTCGACTCGTTTAGGATTCAAGCTAAAATGATGGCTCGAGCTAACCCGTTAGGCTTGACTTCAAGCTTGAACTCTAGATCAGCTTGAATTTTATAGATATTTATGTTAAATATTTTCAATACATAAACTAAATATATCTAATTTCATTTGCAACTTATTAAATATATGTAATTTATATATAAATACAATATTCAAATTTCATTAATAAATGCAAGCTTTGATTTTAAAAAAATTACATATATTATATTAATATATAAAATGATATAAATATACCATTGCTAATAAACTCACTCGAACTGTCCAAGCCGAGCTCGAGTTTAGCTTGTTTATAGAAATAATAAAATTCTCAAGCTTGAGTTCAACTCATCTATCTCTATAAACGAGGTAAGTCAAGCTGTCAACAAACCAGGACAATTCATATAACAGCTCTAGTAAAATATGATCGGCAAAATGAGTACAATTACTGAAATCGAACATCTGAAAGCTATTTGATAACTCTTGAAATTCTATCTGGCTGTACTAAAATGCAGTATTTTAATCGAACATAAGGTAAGTAGTGAAATATAACTTGGTAGCAATAAACTTTATTTTATATTCGCCCAATTCCTTCTAAATTGCAGTATTTTTCTTGCCCGTTATGTTCTGCAATGAACGTAGTAAAAAATAAGCACAAGTCTCACCTTCAATATAATGTAGGAATCTCCAGTGAAGAATTTTCCATGCGACGATTTTGGCACTGGGACAGGTTGGAAATTTTCGATTCGCCATATCTCAAGGCCACTACACTAAGTCAAGGACACAAATATGTGTGGCCACAATTCTGGCGCTTCGATATGTTACGATATCAATATTGACATGGTGACATGAACTGGTAACCAAAAGCTTTCGAAGTCGATCCAATCGGAAAAGAATTAGGAAGTAGAGATAACAATAATGTGAAATAAAATATATTGGCACGAATGAGGATACGCCTTCTGCCCTGCCCCTTGGAATGCCGGATCCAAATCTCTCATTGAAACAGACATGATTTCTTTGTATCTTATGCCGAGCCAAACGGGACCTGGAAAAGAACTATGAAACTGCCTCAACAATTAAAGAACAAATAATAGAGAAGATTTGCAAAATGGATACTAAACCTTCATAAGTTTCAATATATTCATCTAAAAAAAGTGTCGACAATATGTTACTGAGAAAAATGATAACGAACAACACGAGAGAAATGTTTAAGCAAGCAAATGCTACTTTTAGATTTTATAAAATATTTCGATGTCAAAGTTTCATGTGGATTGAAATTTCGAACTTACACTTCAATTCATGTTCCATCGCCGGTGAATTCAAGAACACGATTGCTAACAGTTACACATAAACACAAATAATAAAACAATTTTAACTCGACAATTTCAGCTCACAATGCAATTTCAAATCTATTCAGGTTTCTATTGCTCGATTCATTGATAGAAAGCGAAAATCCCTATTAATCGGATACTCAACAATTCATTTTTACTCGAATCTATTCAGTTTTTTTATCGCTTGAATCATTGATAGAAATCTAAAATCCCTATTAATCGGATACTCACAATTCGTTTTTACTTTAGGTAAATGCATTCAACTAACAAACTATAGAATTCACAACAGTCAGCTTTGTCGAGTTATCGAACAGTAAGTTAAAATCATTGCAGAAAAAACTCCAAATCCATTTGATCAACATAGACAGGAAAGGATCACATAAACAAAAATTCATCATTCAAATGAATTCAAACAACAATCGAAAACAAACAAATCAAATTCAGGAAAGCAAATCCATGAACCAGGAAGTGATTACACAACTACATCCATGGAATCCTTTCTTCCTCAAAATTTTCTGAGGGTAAAATTGTTTCATCTTCAAACACAATCGAAAACAATTCATGCCAATCCAGAAAACTTCAAAATCAAAGCTCCCAAACTTCTAAACCTCATCAATGCCCAAAACAGTAAATCCAGATGAGAAACAAAACAGGTAACAACAAATTAGGGCAATAATTCGACCAAAACTGATTAAATTACCTCTTCAATTTGCAACTCGAAACAGAACTAAGCAGATCCAATCTAGTAACTTAATCCAACCTTATTCGACAAAGAAGCAGCAAAGAGTTGAGATTTTTGCCCCCAAATAATGAAAAAAAAAACGAAAATAAAAAATAAAGAGGGGCTTTCTAGAACAGATGGAAATACCAAAAGGAATAATCCATTTACAGAGAATCTTGTGATGTAAGAGAGAGAAAACCTAAGAAAGAGGAGTGAGAGAGAAAGCGAGGTGGAGGGAATGATGATTAGTTGCCCCAACAGGCGTGCACATCACTAAGTAACATGTAAAACAGCAAACTTAAAAAAGAAGATCCCTTTTTTTTTCTCCAACAATGAACTGTAAAGTCCCATTAAACCCTAATAAATTAAGCTCACTAAATATCCACCATTTTTACCAGAGATGAAAAAATTTTTTACAGAAAACTCGAGTAAAAGGTGAAATCTGCATCCAGATCAAGTTCCAGATGATACAGAGAATTGAATTGAATCGAATCGAGTAGACTTTCCCCAACTGTAATTTTGCAGCAGATGAAGATGGAGATGAATGGGGGGTGGGGTGGGGTGGGGGGCATTGAATCACCATTGGGATAATGTGATAAAGAACATTATCATTAACTTGATAGAGGTGCTGATGATTGGATTGGATGATGATCTCATATTTTGACTGAGATACGATCTTTTTAGACTAAATATGGTCGTTCAAGAAAGTAACAAACATGATTCACGACTCAAAAATGTTGTCTTTTTTTTTTTTTTTTTTAATCGAAGGGTAAAATAAGATTAACAAGTAGAGGTAAAGAAAATCCAAAATATCGACCTAATTTAAGATTGGAGCGTTGAAGATGAACAAGCCCTGATCAAGAACAGAGCTCACTGACATATGCTTAAGTTTATTAATTCAATATCTTTTTTTTTCTTTTGGTACAACGGTTAAAAAAAAAAAAAAAAAAGTTGAGTAAAAAAAATATAATATAATTATATAATTTTATTATTTTTTATTTAAAAAAATTAAATACTAAAAAAACAAATCAATAAAACTATATAAATATTAATATTAATTTTTTTACCCTTAGCTCCACTTAATATCGTCCCAGTCATTATATAATGCTACGGTAGATAAGAAAAATAGAAATAACATAATCAATAAATAATTAAAAAAAGTAACTATATTATAATACAACTTAAATATTTGTATTCAAATTTAAATCACAAAAATTTGAAGAAATATATCAAAAATTTAAACTATATATCGAATCAAATAAAATTATTTAATTTACTTATCATTCTATTTAATTTCAAAATGATTTCTTTATTCTCAATTTCAAATTCAGACCCAAACCTTAGAGAGACACAAACTAATTAGTTTTTATTATTTAATATAAAATCTGAGTTAAATAATAAGTTGATGAAATATTTTGTATTAGTTTTTATCAACTTATTATTTCATTCGGTAAGTTTTTATATTAATTTTTTAATTTTTGTTTGAAGCATGAAATGAAATATTTGGAAAAAGCATATTCTCTCTCGATGATTTTGATCTGGTTGATTTACAGTTGTCGTGTGTTTATAACATCGTCGTTCTTCTCATTTTTCTCTCGCAAAATCGGTAAGATTTTTAATATAGATTTTTTTTAAAATTTAACATGAAAGAAAAAATGTTGAAAAATATCCCCTCACTTCCTTGAACCTTCGATTTATAGTAATTTTTTTTTTTTTTTTTGGTTGATTTATAGTTTGTTTGTTTCAATTTAAATTTGTTAATTTTGAGAAAAAAAAAATTTAAGGGTGTAATTGTTTGGGGGATTTGGATTTTGAGCTGAGATTTGAATAGTAAAAATTTTGAATTTGAATGGTTGTATGATGTGATATAAATAGGCGTTGATGTGATGTTTTGAATGTAAAATTAATTTTTAGTATAATATAAAAAATGAAAAATAGGTATTTGATTTTATGTTTTTTGAGAAAAAAAAAATGGAATGAACAGTGAAAATCTTCACAAATCCTTCAAACAAACACACCCTTAATATCAATACGTTGCTTGGTTGAATTAGGATTTATGTTTTTTTATTAACTGATACTCCCTCCGTCCACTTACAATGTTTACATATTTCTATTTTGGGACGTCCAATTAAAAAGTTAACATTTTATTAAATACCCTATTTTTTTTTCACAAATACCCTTACTTTACATCATATCGTTACTTTTACACAAAAAAGTAAGGGCAAAAATGTCATTACACTACTTTTAACTACTCGCTATAATTAAAATACTATTATTTCTTAAACACCGCGCCAAAAGTAAATATAAACACTGTAAGTGGACGGAGGGAGTATTAATTTTGTCTATTTTCAAATTTGATACTGATCTACATTTGAATTGGAATAAGAGAGCTAATTTTTAACCATCATATTATTGGTTTTGTGGATTGTTTGCTTCTTGATTATGATTGTTGCAATATATTGAATAAATAAAGTAATTGTGGAAATGTTTGGTGTTTCTGGCAATAAAATTTTTACCTTAGTTAAGTAGGTAGATATGGCGGCAGGTACAATATTGACTGAGTCAAATAAAAATCGTATTGATTTAAAGTTAGCAAACACATTAATATAAAATAATTAGCATTTCATCACAAGAAAAATAACATAGAAACAATTTAACATACTAACTTGGAATAATTAATATTTTATTCACAAAGAGAAATAACATATTTCCTGTTATATAAAAATATATATTGTGTAAGTTCTATATTGTGTTGAAATAAACAAATATTGTAATGCGTAGAATTACATAAGTATTATGTTATATATTGTATTTACATTTGTTATGGATTGTATATTGTGATGTACTTTTTAATATGCTTATTATTCCAATGTGCTGAAATGTGCTACATGTAATTATATTTGTTTACAAATTTTTTTTTTTGACGCGATTCTCAAATATATATATTTTATCTTTTTACAAAAATCAACATTCAATCTAAAATAACATTTTTCTATATTACTAATATAATTTTTTGTACATCACATCAAAAAGAAAAAAAAAAAAAAATTCAAATCAAAACACTATACAAACAAACCTAAAATGTTCTATAAAAGTATGTGATATTTATAAATATGTGTTGATTTAGTCAAATCAGCATGTCCTACATGTATTTATATAATGCAGTCATATGTAATAATATAATATGCTATCAAAATTTGTATTGTATCATATTAATATATGTTACTTTTTTTATAAACTTGTATTATTTGTATCAAATCAGCAATATAACCAAGGTGACATTTGATACAACACAATGCTCAAATAAATTGAAGTAATATGTCTAATTTGCACATGTTTACGCAGTCTCTAAAATCATTTTAAATAATTTATTTGAATATATTGAATAAAATTATTTAAATATTGTTATTAAATATTACTTTCTTCCGTCTTAATTTAAAGTACATTTGTTATCATTTTCGTACGTCATATTCAAAAGTACTCATTTTTATTTTTAGTAAAAATAATTATATACTAATACCAAAATATTTTTAATTTTTATTTAAATTACATACATATCATTACACATACAATTACTTTATACATTTAAAGAGCAAAAAATATTCAAATATCTTACACATTTCCACTAATTAATAAAATAATATTGTGTTTTAATCTATTATAAAATCCCAAAAGACTCATTTGAAAAGAGATGAAGGTAGTATTTTTTAGTATGATGTCTTCTTCGATCAACTCGTTCAATTTGGGAAAGGTTTGTTTATGCAGTATTCTTGTTTGAGTATGGACGTCATGAACAAAACTTAATTTAGGCAGAAGGTTTTCACGACGTGCGGATTCTGATCCTATTGGTGATTGTCATTTTTAACCTTTTGTCTTATGAATTCTAAGCTATCTCGACTTCCTGCTTCTTTAATCATGAGATCGTGTGAAACTTTCGGCAAGTCTCACATATTTAGTCATATCAATTTGCGCAACATGAGCATCATATATCCTTATATGGGATGTGAAAAAATAAAATATTTGAGGATTGATCAAATCACGAGGATGTTTAAATACAAATAGAGATACTTTATATTTCACGCCATCTTTTAAACAAGTTTTTACCAGAGTCTTGCACTCAAAATTTGTTATAGCTTGTGGATGTTTTACATTGATTTTTTTTTCATTTTTTTTTAATATGCCCTCTACTTTGACACTAAAAGCAAACTGTCAATCAATTATCTTTCCACTTTGATCTCGATGAAACTTATATTTTCTTAATCCCAAAATCTACTTTCTTCGCATAAGATAAGTAGACATAAGCATCTACTTTCGAGTTAAATTTCATTTCAATTTCAGGCATTTCTTCCAAAGTGGTAGGATGATTGTTTGGTTGTGCATTATTTTCAAAAATATTTCCAATGTCATATTCCATATTCATAAACTCTAATCTACGAGATATTGGAAGTTTATTCATCGTTGAAACATTCGCTTTCATAGAATAAAACAAAATTACGATAAAAAAATTAATATCAAAATATTGATAGAAATATTTTATAAGTACGTAAGTTAGGAAAATAAAACTATACTAAAAACTTATCTATTTTGCGAGAGAATAATGTGAGAACGACAAGGTTGAAAACACACAATAATTGTAAATTAACCAAATCAAAATTGGCTAGAGAATATGTGTTTGGTTAACGGTTGAATTGTTAAGTTGAAAAGTGGATTGAAAGTGATTTATTTAATTCATATTTTATTTATGCTATAATATATAAGATTTAAAAAAATTTAAATATATGTGTAATTATTTTCATAAAATATATAAAATAGAAATATTATTTTATAAAAAATAATTTTTATAGTATTGTAAAATTAATTAAATAAATAAACATAAATATTTATTTATAATTAACATAAATTAATTTATAAATAAATAGAGAGTTAAAAAATTCTGAATCCATTTTAATGTAGTATTCAAAAAATAAAAAATTAATAGTATAATACCCATTGACAAGAAGGGTGTGTTTGTTTTGGGGATTTGAATTTTGAATTGAGATTTGAATAATAAAAATTTTGAATTTAAATAGTTGTACGATGTGATATAAATAGATGTTGATGCAATGTTTTGAAGATAAAATTAATTTTTAGTATAATATAAAAAATAAAAAATAATTGTTTAATTTGATATTTTCTTATAAAAAAATGAGATGAATACAAGCAAACACACCCGAGAAAACAAATCAATCATTTCCACGTTAAAAAAATAAAAATAAAAATTGCCATGCGACTAGATACCTTTAAAACCGCCTTTTGCTTAATTACTCATCTATTTGCAATAAAGTCCCTACACATCTTAAATTACGCGTTTGCCCCCGTCAATTTGTAAACCGATCAAATCACCTGCTTTGGAATTTAAAGCGCGCTTCGAGGTTCAGGTCTTTTTCTCCTTCGCTTCGAAGGAAGCGTCGCTCAGCAATGGGGTTCTCCGCCGCCGCGGCTGTTCAAATGTTGTTCTTTCTGGCAGCTCTTACCTCCGTATCGTCATTCGACGATTCCGCCTCAGAACTATCCGGTACTTGTTTCTTTCGCCGAGTTCGAGGGTTTACATGTGGTTGGTTAATTCTCAGTATCGATTTACCCGGAATTCGCTCTATATGATTTCTAATGATGTTTTTGAATTGCTGTATTTGTGATTCCGCGTGGAATGTAAGCTAGGGATCAGTTAACTATTAAGCGTGTAGAATAAGCTGTGTGATTCTGTTGAGATTGTTTACATTTTGGTGCTGTTTGGGAATTTTTTTTCGTTGTAGTGTTAATTTGTAAGTTTGCGATTGCTTCTACTTATATTTTTCATCGCCATTCTTATTGTATGCTTGAATTTATTTGAATACGAATGTATGAAGTATGGATTGGTATTGATGAGTTCTTCGAGACCAGGAATAATGGGTGATTTTGGAAATATTTTTCTTTCTTTATGTTTTCTCCATTAATTGAATTTTTTAAGTACTGTGAGCATTGACTGCTTGATTGTAATAGGAAACAGTTTTGAAATACAGCAGGTTTCTATGAAAATTTCATGTGTTGAATGTGAAATGTTCTTGTGTTATGCTAAGGAATTGTGTTTGATGCTTTCTCTTCGAACGTGCAGGCAATGATGTGGAGTATTATCAAGTAGTAACTGTCACACCCGAAGTCCTTGTGGAATCTCTACTGTCTACTGATGTGGTGCGGTGTTCACGAGTCACTATCTCTGGTCTATCCAGACTGAAACTTTGGAGTTTCTCCAATGCACACAGGATCACTTTGGTCCCATCAGAAGAAATCAGGGAGACATCATATAAGAAGATTCAGATTTGCTCGCACAAGTTAGTTGAAGAAGAGGACTACTATAGAAGTTCGATAGTTTTTATTTTATGCTTTCCTGTCAGTCTGCTGATGCTTTTATCTTCTTGGAATATATATTTTGCAGGAACTCATCTCTTGGATTGTGCCATTGCGAGAATGGTAACTGGGAAAACATCCAAAATGGAATATGGAGCTCTATTGTATCCCCATACGAACACAGCTACATAGATGTGAAGTTTGTCAATAACTTGTCCGGTTCTGTGACTGTCACTGTGAAATCAGGTAAGGGTTGTGTTCATACTTGCTCGAGCTTGCTGTAGTAATACTTCATGTTGTTCATAATCACCCCCTCCCTACCTCTTTGACACTGGAAAATATCATGAATGTACATCCTCTGATCTTCCTGTATTTTTATGAGTAGAGTTTCAAAAGTGGCGGCTTCTTTGTCTGGCAATTGGTACTGCTATATTGATACTAGCACCAATTGTTAGTAGCTGGGTTCCGTTTTACTATAGCAGCTCAATGGCTATTGGAATTTGTCTTGTGGTGATAATCCTTCTATTCCAGGTATTTCCACTGTTCTTAATTTGAATTCCTTTTCGGTTAAGTATTCATCATTGAATCATCACTGCTTGTTGTTAGTAAATATCTCTAAAATAAGGAGAAGAGAGTACACACTTGCTAATTTGAGGCTAGATAAGGTAGGGAAAACTGTAGTAGCACTGTTTGTTGCAGTAGGAGCCCTTGGGTTGGTAACGAGGCCTATAAACTTGTCAAATGGGAAAATCGAGCTAATGTAGAATACTTGATGTTATAATTTGGTTCAGAAACTTCTAAATGACTGTACACCTGCCTTCTTCTCCTTTGTTCTTACTATATATATGCACATGTATGGATAGATGTATATAGATATGGATTCTAGTTACCTTTCTTTCTTTCATTTTTTGTTACTAATGCCTATTCAAGAGTCGGGTGCTTGCCAGTTAGTTTCAAGCATGTTTGTACATATATTAATTTTGACCAGCTTTGTGCTTTTATTCTATATAAATGTAGTTCAGTCCAGACTCCAGTCCTTGGTTGATTCTTAACTTGTCTGCCTAGAAGCGGAATCATAATTTTGGAGTGACTGAACATGCTTTTGTAGGGGTCACTCAAAATCTTTTGATTCATTACATATCAAATTCATTTTGAAGAATTGCACTTGTGGCTTTGTACCATCCTCTTTATATGGAGTTAGATTTTGAATGCTTGTAAGTATTTTCTCTCTATGCTAGTTTGTTGATTATTATCCTAATGCGATGTTTCCTTATGCAATTATCATGCAGGGGATGAAACTATTGCCAACTGGAAGAAAGAGCGCTCTCTATAGCACGATATGTGGTTTAGCTGTGAGTATTCCTTATATTATTACTGTGTACATTTCCTATGATTTTAGCTGCTCATCGTATATTGGTTTCTCTTTGTTTCTATACTTTAAAACACAAATTCTTATATTCTAATTTGGTCCTTTGTTTGTCAGTTTGGAGCTGGTTCTTATTTACTCAATCGTTTCTCGATGTTTGTCAACTCGATTTTAATCAATTTTGGGATCAGCGAAGAGATGCACAATCCGGTAAGCACTTATAGCTACTATTTGGTGTAAGAAGCCTTGGAATTTTAGTTACGTGTAACACATTGTGAGCAGGCTTTTACATTTAAGAAGTGCTTCACTTCTTTTAATTTCTTGTGCCAATTTTTATCACACTAATTTTCTTTTCTTTTTTTTTTTTTTTTTTTTTTTTTTTTAACGTAACTCATTATTATTGTTACATTTTGGTCAACAGGTACTTGTGTTCTTTTTAGTTGGCATTGCCCTTGCTGGGGCTGCTTTTGGATATTGGCTTGTTCGGAGGTTTGTTGTATCAGGTGATGGAAAGGTGGATGATGGTGTAGCCCAATTTGTGAAATGGGCCTTACGCGTGATTTCTGTGACTTTTCTTTTCCAGGTTATTTCAGATACTACATTTAGCTGAAATTTTTTATATGGTCGTATCTTTTGTCTTACAAAATCTTTTCTGCTTAAAAAGGGTTGGCAAGATGATTAATTTTTTTTTATCTAGATGCATTCTAATGAAGTTTCATCATTCATTTCACCTAGTATGCTACATTTCCTACTTGCAAATTCTGTTGATAGAATATACAATTTCCAAGTGTAACAAAATGTTTGTTATTCACTTGTTTAGGTTGCTATTTAGTAATGTCTTTTTTGTATGTGACCGTCGACCATTGACTTGTGGGTTATTACAATATTTTAATTGTTTAAATATGAGGAAGGTGGGTGTGGTTTGTTTGGGGGTTTTAATTTGAATAGTAAATTTTGAATTTGAATAGTTTCTTTGATGTGATATAAATAGGAATTGATGTGATGTTTTGAATGTAGAATTTTTTTTTTTTATGTAATATAGAAAATGAAGATTAGGTATTCCCTCCGTCATGCAAATATGTGCTCATTTGACCGGATACGATTTTTAATAAAAGTAGGTAATAATTGTTACTTTTTCCCTTTATAGTAAAAAAAGTACAAAAGTAAAATGATTTTTCACTTGAAAAGGAAACATGAATATTTTTTGATGACATCCCAAAGGAAAAATGAGCATTGACGGAGGGAGTATTTGATTTGAAATTTTTTTTTGGGGGTTGGGGGCGGGGGGAGGGGAGTGGTGATTAGTAGAAACACAAAAAATCATCCAAACAAACACATCTTTAGTTATTTCTGAATGATTTCCATCTTCAATAATCTTTATATGTTATATACATACATAAACATATATCTATAGATTATGCTTCTGCTTTTACCTATCTTGACTTTTGCTTGTGTTCATTCTCTAGAGTACGCTTGATACTCCTCTGGCTATTGCGCTGCTGGTCTCTTTTCTGGGGATTCATCTTTCTCTCACTTATTTGAATTGGCACGGCACCGGCCAAACTATGTATGTCTTCTCTCTCTTGCTTTCTTCCTTCTTGTTGCAAGTTATAATACACTGATATTCCTTGATCGATGGTTGACACCGATATTGCATATTTATCTTCCCTAATACTCGAGGTTGAGGGCAGCTACTGAATATTTGAACATGTTCATGAAGTATTTATATGAGTTTTTGCTAAGAGGTTTGACAAACTGTTCATCCTAAGAATGACATACCAAACTTTTGTTAGTGAATCTATTTTAATCCTAACTGTAGTTCCATTCTGAGTCCTATTGCCTACAATAAATTTATTGCACATATGTGTTTCAGTGATTTTTCGTATTCTGGAGATGGAAGTTATAAACTGTGGAGTGGTAAAAGAATGAGCAAGAATAGGGGAGCCGAGTTTTTAAGTAAGCCCGGTAGTGTGGCTACTAGAGGAGGTTCAGGTTCATGGAGAAACCCAAAGAAGTCTCCTGCTTATTCAAACTCACCGTTGAAAGCCTCCGCTTACATGAGAAGTCCTTGGAGAAACTCCCCAATATCACCTGCACTGTCAAACTCTCCCTTGAAAGGTACCTCTTACACTCTCGTTCTCTCATTTTTAAAAAATATTCATAATCGTTACGTGTGTTTGTTTGAAGGTTTGGATTTTGAATAGTAAAAAATTTGAATTGGAAATATAAAAAATTAATTATTGATGTGATATTTTGAATGTAAAATTGATTTTTAGTATAATATAAAAAATACTCTCTCTCTCCCCACCTTTTTCGTCCACTATTTCTGTCCGTCCCACCTTATTTGTCATTTCTTTTCAAGAAAAATATAATTATACACTTATTCACATTTCTAAATTTCATAATTTATGATTTTTAAATATTAATTATACTATTTAGTTATTTAGCCTTAATCAATAATCAATTTTATAGTACAATAATTATTTTTACTAATACATTTCTTAATTACTTGTTAATTATACTTAAATTCTCGTGTCTATGGTAAATCGGACATATATTTTGGGACGGAGGGAATCAAAAATAGGTATTTAATTCGATAGTTTCGAAGCGAAAATTTTGTGTGAAGAGTGAAAATATTTCAAAAACCTTGGAACAAACACATCCGTAGTTTATTTTATTGGTTCTTGCTTGCATCGACGCACAAAATAGTTAGCATGCATTAAACCTTAATGTGTATATTCTTAGTTTTTGCCGAACATCCGTCAAAGGTGCAAACAATAAATACATAATGTGATTCGATCGATGGTTTGCAGGTGTCGTCGGCACGCCACCGCCAAGTCGACAGCGAACGCCAACTCCCGAGAATTACTACTCAACCTTCCACCGGACGCCAAACAGGAAGAGGTTTTCGAAGAAAGAGTGGAAGCAGTTCACGGAGGAGTCGACTCAACAGGGCGTGGCAGATCTCGCAGCTTCCCCGGAATTCTCGGACTGGATCATAAAAAATGCGGATCGGATACAACTCCGGCGGGAGGACAGCTCCGACGAATCGATTGGGAGCGGCTCTGATTCGACGGACGAAAATGGCGCGGCCCAGAGCAGCAGCGGTAAAGCTTTACTGTGGCAACTTCGTAAGTAGCGACGGGACTGAACCGGACCGGACCGGTCGGGTCAGGGTTGGTAGTTTGGGAGTGTAGTAGACGGAGGACGTTCTTGTACTTGCTGTTTTGTATATGGTTATGGTAGGAGAAGAAAATACTGTGTAATTTGAAAGGTTCCTTCCACTCTACAAATCGTAATGTAGCTTCAAGTAGCGCTATTTATTTTATTTTATTTTATTTTTAAGGGATATAATTTTTTGATAAATATTATTAAAAATATATATATAATACTATTTTTATTATCGGAATTTATGCACATTTAATTGAATGCTATCAGCTTATAAAAATTAATAATTTAATACAAAAAATTATTATTATTATTATTATTCATTTTGATTCATATCAAAATATATATTTTTTCATTTTATTCATTTTTTTTTCTAGTATTGGTATTTACAATATATTATACAAATATCGTTACTTTTATATCATTACCTTTATATCACATTATACATAGATGGAGGAAGTATTATTTTATTATTTTTTTATATATCAATGATAAGATTTTCATTGCTACTACTTCTTTCATCCATTTCCAAATGTTTATGTATTTTTATTGTCTGTTAAATTTAAAATTATATATTTCCTTTAACAAATATCTATTTGTGTAATTATACTATATACCTAATATTACAAATATAAATGTCATTACATTTATATATCATACAATATAATACAAAATTTAGTCATTTTACTTTGAGTTCTTCATTTTATTATACACTCATAAGGAAGGATAATTTTGATTTTACACTGATATAACTACATACTATTACTAAAATATTAATATCTTTTAATTCACGTAAAAAAAAAAATAAAAAATAAAAAAAAACAAATGTAAACTTAAAGCTGGGGAGAGAGTATAAAATCAATGTAATTTTACCTTTTAGTTTTAGTGATTCAAGAGATAAGGTATATATACTTATATAAAAGTAAAAGAAAAAGAAAACAAAGGTTAGTTATGCAACAACTATATATCCAGTTGATCATATTTGAGTTGGAGCTATTTTCACCTGTTGACAATTATATTCTCAAGCTTAGACTCGAAACTTAAGGGTATGTTTGTTTGGGAGACTTTCCAAACTTACACTATTCATCAAACTTTTTCCTCCCAAAAATATCAAATCAAACACTTATTTTTTATTTTTTATATTATACTAAAAATCAATTTTACATTCGAAACATCACATCAACACTCGTTTATATCACATCATACAACTATTCAAATTCAAATATTTTACTATTCAAATCCAAACTCAAAATCCAAACCCCCAAACAAACACACCCTAAATGTTCCGAACTTTATGTTCAAGACAACACGCAGGGTAGGCTGAATAGTATAGATTTGTGTTTGAAATCATAAATAAACAAGGGAATTCCATAACTTAAAGAGGTACATTATATCCAATGTCGCTTAGATGCATTCTTATCGAAACAACGACTAAGTAATCGTCATATACCATGGAAGCAAACGCATCATTACCTCGTCGCCAGTTGAACAAAGCTTAAGTGTCGATTACGCCAGCTGAATGTTCCGAAATAACTTCTCGGCTTCTTTTCTTAGACTAGACATATTGATCTGTATCTCGTTGCGCATTCTCCCCTCAACTAGTCGAATAGGCAACCACATTTTCGACTCCCCATTTGCAATGTATTCAAGTGTTGTTTGGGATTCTCCTCCGACTAGAGTATCACTACTCTGTAAAATTTCCACATTTCCCTTAGTAAGAATTAAGACTCAGTTTACATACGGATTTTTTTAAGTTTTGACACTAATTCATTGACCGTAATTTTTTCAAAACATGCCTATTGCTTCTTAGGAAGCATCACACCAAATACCTAACATCTTGTGTTTGTTTGCCCAAACTTTTCTTTCGGCACGATTCCTAATATATATATATATATAGGGTAAACTGGTTTTTTAGTCCACTTGACTAGATTCCTTTTATCATTTTAGTCCTGTAACGGGAGTCTATCGCAAACTAATCCCGTAAGTGGAAAATTTTCGCACTTTTAGTCTTCTGGTGTCGGAGATGCCTACGTGGCACCCGCGTGGCTCGCTGTAGGATACGTGTACGCCAGGTCAGCGATACCTGGCGGTCACAAAAAAATAATCCACGTGTCCGCCAAGTGTCGCTTACCTGGCGGACACGTGTCCTCTACCGAGCCACATGGGTGCCACGTAGGCATCTCCGGGGCCGGAGGATTAAAAGTGCGAAAATTTTTCACTTACGAAAATAGTTTGCTACGGAATTAAAATGATAGAAGAGTCTAGTTAAGGGACTAAAAAAAATCAATTTACCTTATATATATTTTATCATCTCACAAAAATCAAACATTCAACATAAAATATTAATTTTTATATTAGACACAATTTTTGTACTTCACATAAAAAAAAAATAATCTTCAAATCAAACTATTTTCAAAATTCTCCAAAACTCTTATCCAAACAAAGTATAAATATGCCAATATTATTAGCATGGAGATACGAAACATGCAATTTTAGTTCTATATCATTCTTCGCCCTATGCAAAATACAATAAAGAAAAAAAATTCCGCCCAATACCCAAACTCTACACAAAACATCACGTCTGATCACTATTTATCACTTCGAAAATTCAAATTTAAAACATTCCAAAGCATAAGTAAACTCAGCTTTAGTTTGATTGGGTACACTTATATTTATTCTAATCATGTGAGCCGTGACATAATCTTGGTCCGATGGTGTTCAAAGTCATCAAGATCTATGTAAAAAAAAACATGGCTCGATGATTTCCATCACTTTTAGCAACCTTACATACTTATTAAAAATTGGTAAATCAATTTTCAAACCATGGAATGAAAATAGCATGAAACTTGTCTCAGGGGACTAAATTTGCAATTTTCCCCACCGGGGCTCTTATAAAATGCATAGGCTGAAGAATGATAACATTAAGTGACATGATATGATTTCGGAATAAAAAATTTGAACCTGTTCGATTACAATCCATTTTCCTTCAAAGCGTTTGAAGTCACCTTCGATCATCTTGAACTCAATATCGCGTTTACGACCACAGGGAAGCATTTGAATATCCTTCTCAAAACAATCTAAAGTAGCTTTTGCATCAAATTTCAGCCCGAATGGCAATTTCTGCTTCCCAATCTGTTACAATGGATCAAGAGAACAAAATATAAACACACACACACAGATACATATATATATATATATAAAATTAGTACCCAATCATGGCCTTGAAATGTGGAGGAAAGCAATGTAAATGGAAACATCTGTTGAGCTTTTAGGCAATTGATCATTCGACACAAAGGGAAAAAAACACTTTCCCCTCAAGGAATTAAAGGGTCGGGACTTTACTATTCACTATATTTTTTCTTCTTAAAAAAACATCAAATCAAATTTTATTTTTTATTTTTTATATTACACTAAAAATTAAGCTTATGTGCAAAACATCACTTCAAATATCTATTTATATCACAAAAAACTATTTCAAATCAAGACTGTACTATTCCAAAACCCATAAGCAAACACACCTGTTAGAAGATGTTTTTCACTTTTCACTTCTAACTAAAGCTAGAATCGAAACTCAAAAAATCACGATAAAACAGCAACTGTTGAGATGCATACAGATATATACTGCAATCATAAAATAGTTCACCGCATTGGTATTCCACAACTAATTTTCAAGTTAAGAGACAAGTCGACCATAAAACAACAAATCATTGGAACACAGTGGAAAGGTACACTTAAGGAGATCAAAAGAAAATGAAAAAAATTAATGCTTATGTTTACTTTGAATTTTATTTTATTTTTTAAATTTATTATGCAATCCCTACTATTCTATATAAAACATACATTATTTCATTTCACAAAACATCACGTAACGACAAGAAACGAACAAATTCAAAAACCCATAACAACTTACATAATTACACAAGCAGGAAGGACATATAAACGAGCAAAAATCGCGACAGGACAATAACATAACATAACATCAAGCCAATGCATCGAATGACAAAAAAAAAGACAAGAATCATGCCTGTGATCATTCAACATAAGCAGCACACTACAATGCAGAACCAAACACGATCGATACCTGAAAGACACGTGCATATTTATCTCCCTTCTCGACTACCCGGCTGACGGCAAGGCCGGGGATGAAGTCAGGCAACCTCTCGTAATCAGTCAACACGTCCCAAACAGTCTGCAGGCTCGCCTGCACAACTATTTTCGAATGAACTGTCAAACTATATGGACCTGTTTTCTCTATTTCAAGCTCCACTCCATTTCCAGAATCCAATTCATCATCTTCTCCACCATTTTTGGTTTTCATCATTTTCTTCCACACACTTTCTGCAAATCCAATTCGTTGCTTTATATATAAAACAACTGATTTTCGATTCCGTAACGAAACTAACTACTTGAATTGAAATTAAAGAAGGCTTCTAAGTTGTTCTTTTTTTGCTATATGTATGTGATGTTCTTGCGTAGAATCAAATTCAAATTGGCTATTCTCTGCACCGTTTTAGCTACCAAATTGATGGAATAGCTTATAGCTGGCAATCACTGTGCAAAAGTATTAAAAAATTTCAGATTCTGCAATTATTTTAAAATAAATTTCCATCGCTTGGAAAGCACAACGAAAATCGAACCTAATTGACGGTCGTACCCCGCGAGCGTCGGCGTCTTTATCCGCCGCCGTCTCCGGCGGCTGCAGGAAGACTCGCCGGCGATGATTTCCGCCAGGCCGGCCGCTGCGAACAAATTTCTCTAGCTGCATCTTCTTCTTCAGTACTCAAAGCGGAATTAGAATTCCTTCAATCCATTCTACAATTTGGAAATCCGAATTCCTTCATTCGGTAGCAATTCGAGTTTCCAATTCAGAAACAACGGGAATCAGGCTCAAGCTCAACTCCTAGCAGGCAGCGACACATAAACCCTAAATCAGAGCTCCACGTTTGAATCTCGAAATTTCCATCTGATTTCTTTAATTCAGAGAGAAATCGCGTTCAATGCGGCCATGGAATCTTTCGTCGAGGCGACTGCCGCCGCATCGCTCCGGCGGCCGCAGTCCGTCGCCGGAACCCACCGGACGTAAATTGGGAATTTGTAGGGCAAAAAGGTCAATGCACATTATGCTTACCTGGAATTATTGTTTGCTTCTCGTATGGTCACGTGCCTCCTGCTAATCGCCACGTGAGTAATGAATGATTGCTAGCGGTTACCTGTAATTTTTGTTTTATTGCTTGTATTTTTTTCCGAATGATTTATTTTCAAAATAAAATAATAATGAACAAAGTATTTATTACAGTTTTTAAATTAGATAGTATTAATATTTTTTATTAAATATGTTAAATAATATTACATTTTACTTTATACTCGCTCCGTCCCATGTAATATGGGTGTATTACTGTAGACATGAGAATTTATGTAAAGTATAATTAGTAAGTAATTAAGAAATGTATTAGTAAAAATAATTATTATTTAGTAAAAATAATTATAGATTAATACTAAATAAGTAAATAGTTTAATTAAAATTAAGAAAATTATAAAATTTAAAATTTAAAATGCGATTAAAATGCATAATTATATTTTCAAAAATAGAAATGACAAGCTATGTGAGATGGACGAAAATAGAAAACAAGGACAAATTATGTGGGACGGTGAAGGGAATAGTAAATTGTGTATCAATATTGTTCGAATTTTATGTAACAGTAATGTGAAAGAATAGTTATGTACAGTGAAAGTAATAAAAATAATTAACTGAGATTTATACATATTGTAGATGGATTTTTTTTTTAATTAAATATATTGAAGGATTTGTATTGTGATTTTTTTATTTTAAATTTTTATTTGGGACATAATTTTTAGTTTTTTATTATATTTATATAATAATTATGTTTATAGTTTTTGAGTTTTTGGTAATAACTTTTTTTTTCCTATTATTGCATTTATCATATATTCTTATTTACATTAATGTATCTCTTAATTTTGCTTTAAATTTTTTATAATTTAAAAATACTATTGCATAATTGTAATAATTTTTATTAGAACATAAATTTTCAAATTTCAAAAAATACAATAATACAGTAAAAAATAACAAGTACACTAATGTGAAAAAAGAAATATGTCCTAATTTGGTAGACGTTATATATTATCTATATCATATTATTGTTTAGAGCAAAAATCAATTTTGGTCTCATTAAAAATTTTTTATCAATTTTAATCTCATTCAAATGAAAATTTATCAATTTTAGTCCCAAGTTGGTTGACTGGGATTGAATACGGTCGTGTTGGTTTGAACACGGCCGTGTTAGATGACTCAAAAGCTGACTGAGTGTCCCAGGCAGTCAACACGACCGTGTTGATTACCCTGCACTTCTGAACACGACCGTGTTCCTACCCGTGTTCTGAACACAATTATATTTCTGCCAAGGTTCTCAACACAGTCATGTTCTAGGCCAAGTTCCTGCCCATGTTCTCAACACTGTTCACGGCCATGTTCACGACCATGTTTTCAATATAATCATATTGTAGGTCATATTTATTATTATTTTCACTTTTTAGTTAAAATTATTTGATATATATATATATTTATAATTCAAGAAAAATATTTTTTACAATTATTTCATAATATAAAAAATAATCAATTTTTAATATTTTTAAAATATATAAAAATAATAATATATTAATATATACTTTTAATAATACTCTTCTGTTCCACTTACCATGTTCATATTGCCGTTTCTGTCCCTCCACATCTCATTTCATTTTTCTTTTTTGGAAAATAATTACACACTATTTTTTAATTTAATTTTTTTAATTTTAATTAAACTAATGAGTTATCTTAATCTTAATTTATAACTATTTATATTATATGATAATTATTTTTAATAATACATTCTTAATTATTTACTAATTATACTTATTCTAAATTCTCGTGTCTACAGTGACCCGGAGGGAGTATTATTTTAAAATATTATTTTGAATAATAAATTTAATCTATAATTTATAGAAATAATTAATTTAAAATAATATTTTAAATTTTTTTTACTATAAATTTTTAAAAATATATATAATGATGATTATTAAAAATATATATTAATATATTATTATCTTTATATATTTTTAAAATATTAAAAATTGATTATTTTTATAAATTATAAATTAAATTTATTATTCAAAATAATATTCCCTCCGGGTCACTGTAGACACGAGAATTTAGGATAAATATAATAAGTAGATAATTAAAAATGTATTAGTGAAAATAATTATCATACAATATAAATAATTATAAATTAAGATTAAGATAACTATTAGTTTAATTAAAATTTAAAAAATTAAATTAAAAAATAGTGTGTAATTATTTTTCCAAAAAGAAAAATGATATGGGATGTGGGATGGACAGAAACGGAAATGTGGACATAGTAAGTGGGACGAAGGGAGTATTATTAAAAATATATATTATATTATTATTTTTATATATTTTTAAAATATTAAAATTGATTATTTTTATATTATGAAATAATTGTAAAAAATATTTTTGTAGAATTATAAAAATATATATATCAAATAATTTTAAACAAAAAGTAAAAATAATACTCCATCTGTCTTAATACAATAGTCTTCTTTACAATTTTTGTCAGTCTCAAAATAATAATCTTATTTCCATAAATAATCATATCATCATAAAACTACACCTACTTTTTCATTTTTATTACACAATTGCCACTACTTTTTACACTAATACACTCACAAGAGCGAAAAAGTCTTTTATTTATACTTTTTACCAACTACCAATATAATATCAATATTCGTTAAATCACGTGTCCAACCCAATTAAGATTATATTTATGGGACGGAGGGGGTAATATATATGACCTACAATATGATTATATTGAAAATATAGTCGCGAACATGGCTTAAATCATGACTGTGTTGAGAACATGGGCATGAACATGACCTAGAACATAGATGTGCTGAGAACATGGACAAGAACATGGTTGTGTTCAGAACACGGACAGGAACACGGCCGTGTTCAGAAGTGCAGGGTAGTCAACACGGTCGTGTTGGCTACCTGGGACGCTCAGTCACCTTCTGAGTCATCCAACACGGCCGTGTTGGCTGCCTGGGACGCTCAGTCACCTTCTGAGTCATCCAACACGGCCGTGTTCAAACTAACACGGTCGTGTTCAGTCTCAGTCGACCAACTTGAGACTAAAATTGATAAATTTTCATTTGAGTTGGACCAAAATTGATAATTTTTTTAAAAATAAGATAAAAATTAATAATTATGATATTGAATGAGACAAAAAATAATTTTTATTCTATTGTTTAGCACACAGTTTTTTTTAAAACAGGGGATATAAAAACCTGTTTATGGTTTATTAGTATTTTTATGATATTCTGAACATATTATCTAAATAATATATTTTTTAAATTTGATACAAAATATTTTTAAATAGTGAAATGAGAAATATATTTACTTAAAATAATTTCTGTAATATAAATGTTAAAATGAAATTTTATACTCCCTCCGTCTCATTGAAAGGTTACAATTTTTCATTTTCGTCAATCCTAAAACAAAGTTATTATTTTCTAATTTAGTAATTGTACTACCTACTTAACATAATAAATATCATTTCAACTTGCAATATATTACACAGATGTCATTACTTTTATATTACACCATAGTAATAGGGGTATTTTTGTCTTTTTTACTACAATCTAATATAATATAATATTCAAAAATCTACGTAAAAAAACAAATGCCACCCTTTCAAAGGGATGGAGGGATTATTAGAATATTATGCAAATATAATATAATATATAAGAGGCTTGGTGTGAATTTGAAATAGAGCATTCTAAACATTACGAGGGTGTTTGGAAACAGTTTTTCGAAAAGCTTTTAGTTTATTGAATAATTTTTAGCTGTTTGATCAGTCAAAAGACTAATTTAGGTGTTTGGTAAATTAGCTTTTTGAAAGAATTTTTTGAACCCAAAAAGCTAATTTCTGAAAAGCTCATCTACCTAGCGTTTTGAAAGAGCTTTTTCATTTTAATTTTTGTTATTCCTTATTTACCCTTAAAACTTAATTATTTATTTTATACATATAAATATATTTTTATAGCAGTATTTATTAATTATTTTTAATATATTTAATTTATTAAATTTTATTTTTATTTTTTTAAATTTAAAATAATTACTATTATTAATAATTCCATATAAATTATTTTATTTGTAAAATATATAAGTTTTTAAAACTAAATCAAATAAAAAAACTAAGGTTATTAATTTATTTAGATATTAAAACAATAATTAACATAATAAAAATATATATATATATGAAAGATTTATTATTTTATATTTTACATAATTTTAATAAAAAATTATTAGTTTTTAGTATAAACAATTTTCTCAAATTTAAATAATAAAAATAAATATTTTATAATATTTTCATAATTTTTAATAATTAATAACAAAAAATTATCATAAATTTCAAACCAAAATGAATAAAATTAAGTATTTTAAAAAATAACATATCAATGTCCTTAACTCTCATTTTATGTATAAACAGGTAATGTCAAACCGTTATTTTACCAAACACTTTAATACAAACCGCTAATTAAATCAGCTAATCAAATCAATTAATTGAATCAGTTAATAGTTAACAGCTAATTGACAAACACACCCTAATAAACTAAAAAAGAAAAATTATAAAATATTTGAACTGTCTCAATTAAAATAGATAAATAAATAAAAGTAAGGGAATATGCATTTATTAAAAAATCTAGATATGAAATGATAAACTATAGAAAAAATACTAATAAACAAAACATTAATAATTTGTAATGCAAACAAATTTACTATAGTTTGTTTATATAATAGTATTTTTTATAGAGTGATTTCTCATAAATTTTTTTTAAAATTTATAATATATATTTTATTATTTATAATAATTCAATAATTGTCAACACAAAATATTATATTTTATATTATCAAAACAATTTTTTATACATAATATAAAAAATACATCAAAAAAAAATACATCAAAAAAAAAAAAAAAACAAAGTGAACAGACCCATTATTTTATGGATGTGATTGTATTATTTTATATTAAATAATGAATTTCG